CCCCGCTGCGGCCTCGGCGAGCTGATCCTGCCCGAGAACGAGCCCGGCAGCAGCATCATGCCCGGCAAGGTCAACCCCACGCAGTGCGAGGCCCTGACCATGGTGTGCGCCCAGGTCATGGGCAACAACGTCGCCACGACCATTGGCGGCATGAACGGCCAGTTCGAGCTCAACGTGTACAAGCCGCTCATGATCCGCAACCTGCTGCACAGCTCGCGCATCCTCGCCGACGGAATGCGCTCGTTTGAGGAGCACCTGGTCAAGGGCCTGCAGGCCAACGAGGAGAAGATTGCTAGCATCATGAAGGAATCGTAAGTTTTTCTTGCAGTCATGTCTGTGTTTCATTTCTCTGCTCATGTGGCTGACTCTCGCTGTCAACTTTACAACAGGCTCATGCTGGTGACGTGCCTCAACCCCAAGATTGGCTACGACATGGCCAGCAAGGTTGCCAAGAACGCGCACAAGAAGGGCTTGACGCTCAAGCAGAGTGCCATGGAGCTCCAAGCGCTTACGGAGCAGGAGTTTGACGAACTCGTCAAGCCGGAGCTCATGGTGAAGCCCAAGAGCGTGTAGACGAGGCGAAGACGATGATGTTGTATGACTAACAGTGACCTAAATAATACCATATGGGGACGTGGTACTTGTGTGAAGCCTCATAGCATACATAGCTTGTATCATTAATCCTGAATATACAATACCAGAAAGGAAACAAGACCAGGATCAAAGCCATGCACAATCTGGCTCTCAGGCGTCAGTGTGCCCTTGACTTGTGCTTCATTTCTGTAAGTCGAGTGAGACCTCGGCAGTTGTCAAGGCCATTTCCAAATCAGGCAATTAGGAGGCCCACTTCCATGCGCTTACATAAACTAGATCATCCGTACTCCTCAGCTCTTCCCCCTTACATAACGTGGCAGCACGTGATCATTAGAGTAGGTCCCCATCCGACAACCTTGATTACATAATTGGAGATAAGCTTTTCAATCCATTGCTATCGCAACTTTTTTTTTTTCTCGTTTTTCTCCGAGAGCCATCTTCATCACTTCAACCTCACCTCAACTCCCCCCCATCTCCTTTCCAAATACCGGCCGTGAGCCTTCCCCGGGCGAGCCCACTTTCTCATTCTATCACCGTGAAAACAAAATGTCCAACGCCAACGAAGCAGGTGAGCAATTGACCCCTTCGCGTCTCCCCCAAATCCCAGAGCTGGGGCGAATGCTGACCTTTGTTTCCTCGACAGCTTGGCCTCTGGCCGATGCGGCCTTGACCCAGGAGATTCTCGATCTCCTCCAGTCGGCCATGCACATCCGTCAGGCGAAGAAGGGCGCCAACGAAGGTATGTCTCGACTCTTTTTGAAGGCTTCTGGGTCCCAATCTTGACAAGATGCAACGATGGCTGACTGACATGTTCTCCCGCCTGCAGTTACCAAGTCAATTAACCGCGGAACTTGCGAACTTGCCGTCCTGGCGGCCGACACCGAGCCCCTCGCCATCATCCTGCACATCCCCCTCATCTGCGAAGACAAGGGCGTGCCGTACGTCTACGTCCCCAGCAAGACCCTGCTGGGCCGCGCCTGCGGCGTGAGCCGAGCCGTCATCGCCGCCAGCATCAGCTCCAACGAGCTGTCCGAGCTGTCGGGCCAGATCAAGGCTCTCCAGCAGAAGGTGGAGAGACTTGCCATTTAAATGAAAGTGGACAATATGGGGAATTCGGATGCTTGAGACAAACGTGTTCTTACACACGTTTCTGTGTGTGAATGCAGAAACATGTTGTGTGAAAGCAAGTTAGCGAGCGCGAATGTGCTGTAGATTAGGCAGGGGTCAAATGACATTTTATTTTCACATGGATTCAATTCGTGTTGTTGCTTTGATGTGAGCTGAGCGGTTGTTGTTGTTGGGTGCCTCTCTGATTTCTTTTCTGGGTCATTAGTGGTGATGAGTTGTGCTTGTGATGATGATGATGATGATGATGATGACGATTTTGATGCCAAGCATAGCAAATCATGCGTTATTCATACCTTGATCGAAAATTACCTGCTACGGTATATACATACGGTTTATCTCATTCTGATTGATATCTGTCTGCTTACCTCACCTCACAGCCGACCTGCAGTCCTTCGAATCCAATAAAGCCGGTCCATGTAGAGCCGCCAGTCAGCACCCTATCTTTGGCCCCCCCGTCCTCCAATATCCCCGTCACGAGAGCCGGCCTAAACGGACGAAGCCAGCGGAGCCGGAGTTAATAACCCCAAGGTGCCGCTTACACACTACCTTGTTCCCATCGGGCGGGCCGCGCAGGTCCGGGATCGATCTAGAGCGGGCTTTAATTAGCCAACATACGGAGATTGTGTGATGCTGCTACTCTAAGGCGTTGGTAGTTGTGTTTGGAAAGATTGGATATTGATTGGTTTTGGAGGAGGAGAGTTCTATGTCTCCTTGGATGAAGGAGATGATCCAATCGTGGTGTGATGCGTCTAGATAAAGTCGATCTTGTCATACCTTACCATATACTAACAAATGGTTATTACCGTCCCTGATCGCCTTGATTCAACTGATCCCCGATCTCGACGCAAAAGCCGGTCCGTCGAAATCGCCAGCCAACCAGCCCGGAATCCCAACCCAAGCCGAAGTCCGCAAAGCCCTCTTTTTCCGCTAACTACCCAAAAGCCGCAAGACACAACTGGCTCTAGAACGATGAACCGGACGAAGCGAAAAAGGGCCATGGCGCTTGCTAGTCCGCAGCTTTGCGTAGCGAGTTTGTTCGGACTCGCACTCGCTTCCTTTAAGTCCGTAGGCTAACAGTTAGCTTTCTGCTGTGAATTAACAAATCGTCCCGATTTTTTGGCTTGCTTTTTGCATGTTCAGCTGGCTAAGGCTAAGCCCTACGGAGGTAAAAGGCGATAATGTACGACACGTACATACGACGAGGGCTGGATGGTTATGAATGGCTAGATGGCTGAAAAGCTGGCTCATCAGGGCCCTGGAAAGCATGGGGCTGGTAATATAGATCCGCTCGCACGTACGCAGGGAAAGGAGTTTCCAACCGGCATTTGAACCTCGTTTCCCTCCCCTGGTTGACGTGGTTGACGTTGACTGATTTGTGGCTTTGGACGGGCATCCCGGGGGCATGACGCAGCATAACTTTACCTCGTATGTTGTGCCAGTTGTCATATATCTTTGCTCGAATGTCGCAGTTTCGGCAGCAGATTCTCCCCAAGCTGTGGCAGAGCTGGTATAACCGCGTCAACAGCATCAAGCTCAGCAGTCCCGGCATCTTCTTCAACACCAACACCAGCAACAAGAACACCAACGCCAACAGACGATATAGAACCAGAGTCGTCTTCCTCGTCTTCTTCTTCACAGCAGCAGCAGCCACAGCAACAACAACCGCCGCCATGACACGCCGCAAGTCATCCTGCTGCTCAACCTCCGCCTCCTCCTCGTCCACAACCCTCCGCCATGCCTCCTCATCATCAACAACAACAACAACATCCGTCACCAAGATGCCCACCCGCACCAACATCCCCGACGAGGCCGTCTCCAACCCGCACCACGTCCTCAAGCGCAGCGGCGCCCTCGCCGGCTTCCAGAACCCGTACCCGTCGTGGTCTAACCCCGTCGGCTTCGCCTCCATGCTGCAAAACGTCCTCTGGCCCACCATCACCGGTGACCTCAAGTGGCCCGACACCACGCCGCCCACCGTCGCCGTCGTCCCGCCGCAGTGGCTGCCCTCGCGCGACGCCTCGCCCCATGCGCTGCGGGCCACCTGGCTCGGCCACGCCTGCTACTACGTCGAGTTCCCCTCGGGCCTGCGCGTGCTCTTCGACCCCGTCTTCGAGGACCGCTGCTCGCCCTTTAGCTTCATGGGCCCCAAGAGGTTCACGCCCAAGCCGTGCGACCTCAAGGACATACCCGTCGTCGACGCCGTCGTCATCAGCCACAGCCACTACGACCACCTGTCGCACGGCTCCGTGCTGGAGATTCAGAAGCACCACCCGCAGGCCCAATTCTTCGTCGGGCTCGGCCTGGAGCCCTGGTTCCGCCGCAACGGGCTCAAGAACGTCACCGAGCTGGACTGGTGGGAGGACGCCGAGCTGACCGTCACCGTCCCCGTCGGCGACGACAACAGCAACAGCGAGAAGAAGAAGAAGAGCATCTCGGCGCGCATCTCGTGCCTCCCCGCCCAGCACACATCCGCCCGCTCCGCCTTCGACAAGGACACGACGCTGTGGTGCTCCTGGGGCGTCCGCTCCGGCGACAACAACGTCTGGTTTGGCGGCGACACGGGCTACCGCGCCGTGCCGCACCTCCCGCCCGGCGTCGACGACTACGGGCCCGAGTACGAGTCGCTGCCCCGGTGCCCGCAGTTCAAGCACATCGGCCAGCACCGCGGGCCCTTTGACCTCGGCCTCATCCCCATCGGCGCCTACTTCCCGCGCGTCGCCTTCTCCGCCATGCACGCCAACCCCTTCGACTCGGTCGAGATCTTCCAAGACACGCAGTGCCGCCGCGCCATGGGCATCCACTGGGGCACCTGGGCCCTGACCATGGAGGACGTCCTCGAGCCGCCGCGGCAGCTCAAGGAGGCGCTCAGGCGCAAGGGCATCCCGGAGGAGGGCGTCTTTGACGTCTGCGATATTGGCCAGAGCAGGGAGTTTTAGGCGGGCAAGATTCGCATCATTTCGTGGCATACCATCTCAGCAAGCGGAGGATGCATTCGATTCCTTTTGATTGGTTGGAGCGTCAGAAAGCAGGTAAAAGAGGTTGCTTACCAGGCTCACGTCACATGAACCCCTGTAACCCTGTACTTTGATAGAGTCCATTTCCACTTCTCACACACATACCCACATTCGCGCTCATACATGGCGGACAATGTATTCATAGATCTATCTCACTCAGCATAATACCAACAACTTCAAAGATCATTATCCAACCCGCTTCTAACGCTCCATATCTCGGATGACATACCGTATGCTAGTAGTCCAAACAACCCACCCACACACACGTATCAAACATCTGTAGAGCAATCATCGTCGTCATGAACGGATCTTAAAGGGGTGTGCCTCTGTGTTAAAGACAAACTTGTTCCCGCCGTTGGCCTTCACCTGCACATCCGACTCCTCGGCAAAGATCAAGTACGCATACTTCAGAGCCTCCGCGAACCAAAAGCTCTCCATGTCGTCGGAGGCTCCCCCGCCGTTGGCCTGCGTCACGTCGTTGATGGACGAGTACGCGCTGCCGGCGCGGCATGCGTCCTCAATGGCACTAAAGGCTTGCCAGGCCAGATCCTGCCACTTCGAGTCGCCCGTGACGCGGTATGCGTAGTACAAGCTCTCCAGAGTCTCCGGCCGCAGGATGTAATACGGTGCCGTCACCCAGAATCCTGCCGCCGAGTAGAACCCGGTCTGGTTTGAGGGGGGCGAGCCGCCGGCGCCCGTCACGCTGTCCGTCCACGCGAAGCCTTCAGGCCCGATTCCAGAAGCCGTCTGGTTGTACGTGGCAAAGTACGAGTTGGCAAGCTGGAGGCCAAAGTCGATGTACTTTTGCTCGTCCAGGAGAATACCTCCCAGGATAAAGTTGCCACCGGCAAAACTGGCCACTATAAGAGGTAAAAGGGAGACTGTTAGAAACGCCGCCACCATGACTTGCAACCTCTCAGGAATGGCTATCAGAAAGAAAAACTTACAGTGTCCTGAATTTGGCGACGTGGACTGTCCATTGTATGAAGACAAAAAGGTCAGATCCTTACGCGTCGTCGGGTGAGAGGCGAGATGCGCAATGGTCGAGTCGGCAGCAAGGACCCAGCGATCCTTGTAGCTTGCAAATGCATCCGGGTCGTACAAGTACATCTTGATCAGATACTCGTAGAAGCTGTCCATAAGGCCGGACCAGCTGCCGCTGCTATCCTGAAAGGTGCCATTGCTCGTGTTGACATACGTTCCGATCAGGCCGGGCCATGCCTCTGGGCTTCCGGTTGGCTTCAGGAGATACGACTCGCCCTTTTGAGCAAGCTGGCCATACAGCGGATTTCCCGTCAGGTCACTCAGGCGTGTCCACTCGAGCACCAAGCTTCCAATCTCGGCGACGTTGTTGCTGGATGCACCACTCCTCCGGACAGTGGGGTTGAAGTAGACGGTAGGATCCGGGACACCGCTGGGAGTGGTGAAGGCAACCTTGAGGCCATTGGCAAGTGTTTGGGCCTGGGTCAAAAGAGCATTGACAAGTGTCTGGTTTGTTGCCACGGAGCTGAAAGGACCTCGCAACAGGTCATAGGCTAAGTAAAGCATCAATCAGCCAGACGTTCAGCACAAGCTACCCGTGATGCGGGCACCGGGAACGTATATCCAACACATACCAGAAAGCAGGCCGCCGATATACCGAATGTTGGTCTCAAACACGGAGATGCCTTGGTTGGCAACCGCAGTAGTGGTAAAGTTGATCTGTGGTACACGCTGTAGGATCGTATTGACAATGTCGGCGTCTCCCATCAGGATGGCCGTGTCCAAGCCATCGATTGCCGATGAGCCCCAGCCGTTCCTAGACCACAATTAGACACCAAATCCGTGCCACTTCACCGAAGAACTGGTGCCCATCACGAGTTCGCAGCTTACCGCTCATCATCAAAGCCATTGCTGACCGGGTGAAGGTCGTCGTGGGGAAATGCATATTGGTGATAGGCGTTCCACGACGTCTGGAATGCGGCCTTGACTGCTGCTGCCCTTGTAGGATTGGGGGCTCCGCGTTTGATAGCGGCCGGCTTTGGATATGCCAATGCAGGACCGATGAGCCCAAGGGCAAAGACGGAGCTGCTAGGGAATCTCATGTTGGCGACAGCTGTAGATCCGACTCTGGCAAAGGGGACGGCAGGGCGAAACTGAGAGAGGCACTTGTCCAAGCTCAAAGCATGAGACGGGGCTGCAGAGGGCAGTTCAATAGGTGGGAAAGCCGTCCATTTCAATTATTTCTCAAATGCTCCTCCTCCTGATCAGCAAGGCCAGAAGAATGAGAAGAGGGGGGCGCTCATGCGACGCGACACTACCTACGCCACCAGGAGTGCGGATTCTTCTCAAGCGGCCAAGCGGGTACTTCATGCTAAGCATAAATTCCTCTTCTTCCCATTCGAGACATGGCGCCGCCTGGAGAAGCGAGGACAGCCATCCGGCATGCTTTGGGCTTGTCTTTTTCTTGTCTTCTCTTGCGTCTTCTCGGCTGGGACGGTGCGCCATCGCGCATCCAGTGGCTTCAAGGATGGACGAGGGAGACGAGGATTGCCGGCGAACAGAACCACAGCAGGCAGGTGACACCGCAAGCTAGCAGCAGCTTGCATGTGCTCTCTATCCATGACGATATTCTTCGTGACCTCAACAAACCGGGTCGAGAGAATTAAGCTTCTCAATGGGGCTCCGAAGTCTTTGGTGACAGGTCATTCAGACAACTCCGATGCGTCTCGCGGGGAACCTAGGCACGCCTGCAGGGGTCAGAATCCAACAATGCACCCAGCCATCATCAGGTGCCATTCGATGGTGATGCTAGCATTTGGACCATGTGCCGTGGTATGTGAGCCCGGGAATGCTGAGGAGGGGTGGCGGGAAGCGGCCAGAAACAAACCCCACGCGTGGTCAGACTGAGAGCACAAGTCCAAGGAACGCGGCTGCGTATTTTGCACGGCGTCGTGTAGGTAGTTCGACCAAAGCCGGAATACAGCGCTTGGCAACGCGTCCCCGTGGAACAAGGCGGCGCGACAGAACTCGAAGCAGTGCTCAGCATAACGGTTGTGCTAGCATCCAGTTAAGCCAGTATTTCTATCTCCGCTGGATCGTCGCATCATCTGCGGGCATCACCACCACCATCCACCATCACCACCAACAGCATCAACCTGCTTCTTACCGCCTAGCGCCGCGAGCGCACCCCGGCATATACGTGCGATGATATCAGCAGCGCCGGACTTCCCCACAGATTGGCGACGGCACTTCAGGAACCGGCTTGTGGTTGTGCCCCGCATCGCGAATCCCAGCTCCAGGCACAAGGCTGGATGATAATGTCCGCCCTTGGTTGGACGAGCCTCGAGATGCGCTGCCACTGGCTGCTCGCAGATGCCGGCTGCCTGCGATACGAAGGCCGCTAAGGGTCGATCGGTGGTGGACAGCGATCGATAGATAGATAGTAGCTGCAACTCAGTAGTTTGTGGTTGTGCTCCGACTGCGACGTAGCTGTTCCAACGGTTGGCTCGGCAATGCAACGTATGCTTTGATATAGCCGGCGTAAGTGGTAGGTCTCATGCAAGGGTACGAAGTAGACCTGGCCTGATCCCACCCCGCGCTGGACCTCTGCGAGGCTCCAGTGCCGGAACGAAGCCGAGTTCCTGCTTCTGGTTCCAAGGTGCGGCCGTACTTGGTAGACGATGGCCAACGAGGAGCCGTTGTGCGGAGTCCAAAGGATTACCATTACACGTTGTCATGCGCAGTGAGCCGCGGATCGCATCAGCTTCATCCCTCCTTCTCGGCATTTCTGCGGCGCTCGGGCATGAGGCCATATGGTCGCTCCAGGCATACGATTTTCGTGGGGAGGAGTATGCGAAGCATGCGAGTAGCTCGGCATCTTCACCCACCCTGTCGCAATTTTGCCAGTGCTGCCGCTACGCCTTCACTAAGCTGGCTACTCTCTTTGTTGGGCCGCTGCTCTTCTCTAGGTTGTTGTGCCGGTTGAGAAGTTGTCTTCTCCTCGCGGACCAGAGCTTCAAACGCTTCTTCAACTTCTGCCTCGTCGGAATCGCCATCTTCGTCCAGAAACTGAAACTGTCGAGGCTGTGTGCTGCCAGACTGGCGGCCCAGCGCACTCCCGCCGGGCGAACCTTGGGCAGAAGAAGCGTGTGGTGTCATATTTGTCCCAGGAGCCTGAGAGCCGGGCTTTGCAGCTTCTGACGCAGAAGGCCGATCACTGTCAGCATGTGCGCTGGTAGTCCGTGAATCACGCCCTGCCACGGGTGCTGACGACGGCCGCAAACCTCGCTTTGCTGCTTTCCTTGCTCGAAATGGCTCTTCGACTGCGTCCGTCCATCTCTTGACTTTGGTGCCACCCCATCCATTGATCATGCTCAGCTGCTCTGGCTCAGCATTGATAGCATTCTTCAGGCTGCCAAAATTAGCGACCAGAGCTACCGCGTCTGATTTATTCAGACTCCGCGGCACCGTAACAAAGTCAACCAGTTTGTCGGCATAGTTAGAGGACTGCTGTCCACGAATGGCTGCAAAGTTGGCGTTCTCATAGGACTTGTAGAGCTCGAGGTAGCGCGCGGCTTCGGCTGCAGACCAGCATAGCATAACGGTCACGTTGTTGACTACTGAAGTTTTCGAAAGTTCGCGTAGAGAATCCTCGTGGTTTGGAATATCAACGAGCGTAAGGAGAATGCGGAGATTGTATTTGCCCTGAAGATTGCGGATGCGCGTGTAGATGTATTCGGGATGGAGGCGGTGGTATTTGAGACTGTGGTGACGACATTAGCCGTTATCCAACATTGAATGCAGTCCATGATAAACATGCGATATACCCACCTCAGGAAGAGCGCACAGGTCGTCAATCCTAGGACATAATCGGCCGGTATGTCGCTGTACTCCCACGGTATCGATCGGATGGAGGTCAAGACGGGGTTGCCGCGTTGGCGAGGCGAGACCAAGATCGTAGAGCCAAGGTTCTTTTGCTGGATGACTTGTGGCTTTGGCTGCACTACGCCAGCTCCAGAGCTGTTCCCGCTCGTCTTTGGCTTGTCGAGAACTTGAGGTGCGGGTTGCTGGACGGCGCTGCGTGCTGGAGGCATCGGGTCCACGGCCGCCATTGCCTCCAGCAGGTCGTCATCGGCGCCATAATCGTCGTCCATGATTGAGACGAATGCTGCGGCATCTGCGCCGGGATTGAATGAGGGACGGGGTTCGGTGATTGTAGCAAAGGCGAAGAGTTCAAGATCGGTGGTGAAGATGATGATGAGAGCATCAGCTGCATTAAGCCTGGGAATTCACGGTGGAAAAGTGGGTCGCGTCACTAACAGCTTGGAGCTGGAGCTTGGCACAGCAATCAGCTGCAGCTTGATAGTGCTTTACTATGAACTTGCTCTGAACGCCTTGAGCAGAAATTCAATCAGATGGGACTGGAGGGATTGAATGTGTCTGTTCTATAGGCTGCTCATTTCTATTTGATATGATGATATTTCTCTCTTTGACAACGCTTTGCCTGCTGTGTCAAGTCAACTCTCGACTGAGCAACAGCGTGGGCCTCTACCTCTCTACCTAGAAAGCCATTCAAACGAGCAGAATGCCTCCGACCTAGCTCGTGACATTAAGTCGCCTCGAGACAGGCCGACGAAGATGGAGGCAGTCCAGAGGTACAGTAGATGAACCGTCAGAAGTCCGCCTCGACTTGACCAGTTGTGGTGGAGCAGATTTGTCTGGCTGAGCGTCGGAACCACAGAACCGACGAGGATGAGACTGGCAGTAGGAGAATGCATAGTGTTTCGTAGACTCGTCTGCAGACAACAATCAGTCCCGATGAAGCTATCAAGGTGCAGACGTGCACATATAACAATCACCAAGATGCCACTCTCCCCCACCCCTTATGCTTGCCCAGTCATATCCAAGCATCTCTTCAAGCCTCGTCTCAGCCAACAAGGGGAAACCTGACCGGCGTCACTCGGTTGCCTTTGGCACAAGCTGCATCTCCTCCAACCGCTGCTCGGCCTTGTATACCGAACTACGGAGTACGAGTACCATCAGGACGAGTTGAAAGTGCGGGGGGCGGGGGCGGGGTTCCATCTTGTGCTCCAAGAGGAGCGGCTATAAGCGCATGATATTGATGCCGAGCTTCACAAGCCTCATGGTGAGGGACTGGAGATGTACCGATCCTTTCGGTATTTATAGCATCTCATTTCTATTACTCCGTAAGGTAGAGAACAAAAGATGTATTATGTATGTACTTACTACGGATTGAGGGGTTCCGAATAACATCAGAGGCTGCTCAGCTTGGTGACCCCTCAGACGGATCGTACACGATTCAGCATCCCGCATTTCCCCCAACTCCGAACCCCCAACTATGTCATCCTCCTCTCGCATTTATATTGCCGAAGCCAATCAGCTTGCAGGCTTCGGTTCAATTGGCAGCGAGCTTCTCGACAGCCGTTCTAGAAACCATCTTCCAAGCCATCAGGACAGTCTCGGCTTGATATATCCCACCAATTGCTGAGCAAATCAGCCGGCGAGTCGTCAATCATTTGCCCGTCAGTCTTCCCCGTCGCATACATTTGACCAACTGCATCGTGGCCTCCAACGTGGAACTGGAGACGCGCCACTTGGGTCAGCTCGTGCTTCCGCTTTCTCGATAGTTTCGATGGCAAGCGAGATCGGCTTTCGGCTTCTTTACTTGTTCATAGAGCATCAGGTAGAGCAATAAATACCCTGTGGGCGATCGCAAAAGGCAGCTTGAAGCTTGTCATTCTTCTCTTCTTGTCACAAAACCCTTCCGCGTGCCTCCACCTATCCTCCACCACTTTCCTTACCTCCCAACTCTCACCCAAGTCGCATTGTCAAATAGCCGAAAGAACCATGTCTGAAGTCACAATCACAAGCTTCAAGAGCCGCGATGTGCGGTTCCCAACATCCCTGGACAAGACGGGCTCGGATGCGATGAACGCTGCGGGCGACTATTCGGCGGCATACTGCATCCTGGAGACTGATTCTGCGCACAGAGGTCATGGCATGGTCGGACTCCCTTGCAGTAGCTTACGATGCTCGGTCGTTCATGATCAACTGACTGACAGCTTTGTTATTAGACATTCACCATTGGCCGTGGAAACGACATTGTCTGCGCAGCCATCAACCACGTCGCCGATCGACTCAAGGGCAAGACGCTGTCGTCACTGGTGGCCGACTGGGGCAAGACGTGGCGGTACCTGGTCAATGACAGCCAGCTGCGGTGGATCGGCCCCGAGAAGGGCGTCATCCATCTTGCGCTGGGAGCCGTCGTCAATGCCGTCTGGGACCTGTGGGCAAAGACGCTCAACAAGCCGGTGTGGCGCATCGTTGCCGACATGACGCCCGAGGAGTACGTCCGCTGCATCGACTTCCGCTACATCACCGACGCCATCACGCCCGAGGAAGCCGTTGCGATGCTGCGCGAGCAGGAGGCCGGCAAGGCCCAGCGCATCGAGGAGGCTCTCCAGAACCGAGCGGTGCCTGCATACACAACAAGCGCCGGGTGGCTGGGATACGGAGAGGAAAAGATGAAGCAGCTCCTGAGAGAGACGCTGGCCGACGGATACAGGCACTTCAAGGTCAAGGTTGGCGGCAGCGTCGAAGAGGACCGGAGGCGTCTGGGCATCGCTCGTGAGATCCTTGGCTTCGACAAGGGCAACGTCCTCATGGTCGATGCCAACCAGATCTGGTCCGTCCCCGAGGCCATCGACTACATGAAGCAGCTGGCTGAGTACAAGCCCTGGTTCATCGAGGAGCCGACCTCTCCCGACGACATCATGGGCCACAAGGCGGTTCGCGAGGCTCTCAAGCCCTACGGCATCGGCGTCGCTACCGGCGAGATGTGCCAGAACCGCGTCATGTTCAAGCAGCTGCTCATGACGGGCGCCATCGACATCTGCCAGATCGATGCCTGCCGCCTCGGTGGTGTCAACGAAGTCCTGGCCGTCCTTCTCATGGCCAAGAAGTTCAATGTGCCCATTGTACCGCATTCCGGCGGCGTGGGCCTCCCCGAGTACACCCAGCACCTGAGCACCATCGACTACGTCGTCGTCAGCGGCAAGCGTTCCGTCTTGGAGTTTGTGGACCACCTCCACGAGCACTTTTTGCATCCTTCCGTCATCAAGGATGGATACTACCAGACACCGACCGAGGCTGGGTACAGCGTTGAGATGAAGCCGGAGAGCATGGACAAGTATGAGTATCCCGGCAAGAAGGGTGTAAGTTGGTGGACGAGCGACGAGGCTCTGCCCATCCTGAACGGGGAGAAGATCTGATGAGGTAGAGGCGATGTACAGTAACGATGATCTTGTCCGCAAATGTCTTGTATTTCCTTGACATTGCGAGCACAAAAAGATGTATGTTAGTCGTGTTATAGTAGGTCGGATGGGTTACGGGTGGTACTTGTATGAATTGACCATGAATAAGAAATTAACAGACAATCTCGGCAATCCAAGCAACGTGAACAGATATTGCAAATGCGGTTCATTCAATATGCGAATGGGACCATCTTTAGTCTTATGAAGAGCATAAGTGTAAGGTCGCCATTTCCGAGACTTCTTGAGAGCTACAAGCAGGTGGAGGAGATGTTCGAGGCTATTTGCGATGGCTGGACAAAGTCGCTCAGTAGCTTCATCAACGTATCCACTCGCAGCCAGGGGTCAGTTTACAGCACGTTCAGCCGCCCAATTTAGCTTCAGCGTGATAGCAAGCCCCCAACCAAGCGTTAGGACGGTACCACGAGGAGCCCTGTCTTATTAGCTGCCTGTCCAGTTGAGCAAGTTGAACCTCACACTTTCAACTTCTTCATCATCATCACATCAACAGCTGCGCATCTTGGACGGCTTTTTGGCTTCAGTTCCTGCGCCAAAACAAACACAATGCACCCGAGCCCGTGACCAGCGATTATCCGTCAAGTCACCAGAGCTCGAGAGCTTCTATATCTGTTCCTTCATTCGGCCAACATCCATCATCCATCATCTCGTGGCCGCCAAGATGAAGCTCATCCCGTATCACGAGTCCCGCCCATTGCGCTCGCTCGTCGCCGTCTTCGCCGCCTGGAAAGGCTTCCTGCTGGCCATTGCCCTGGGAACGGCCCTCAGCCAGGACTATGACACGTCGACGTCTCTCTTCTTCGAGCACGCGTACGGCTCAAGGGCCAACGCATCGGCCCTGGCAACGAGGTTGACGCGGTGGGATGCGCTGTACTTCATGCAAGCCGCGCGCCATGGCTATGTGTACGAGCAGCAGTGGGCCTTTGGAGCCGCTCTTCCGCTTTCTGTGCGTGGCATTTCGTGGCTGCTGAGGCCATTGACGCATCTGGCCGGTGATGCGGCCCTCGAGCCTGTGGTGGCCATTGTCTTTACAAACTCGGCTCATCTGGCGGCCGTGCTGGCTCTACACCGGCTTACCCGTCTTCTATTCGGGAACAAGACGCTGGCCTACGTGTCAGCAGTTCTGCATATCCTCTCTCCAGCCGGCCTCTTCCTGTCCGCTCCTTATGCCGAGAGTCCGTTTGCCTGCCTGTCATTCATCGGCAACCTGCTTTTCGCAGTCGGGCTCCGGCCCAGCGCTACTGTTTGCAAGCGGATGCTGGCCTTTGTCGGTGCAGGGGTTCTATTTGGGCTGGCCACTTCGTTTAGGAGCAACGGCTTGCTCAATGGGCTTCTTTTTGCCGTAGAAGCGACCAAGTGCTTGTCGAGCTTCTTGCGCCAGCCGAGTCTTTCGAGGCTTGCACTGCTCGCCTCCTTGATCATCGGCGGCCTTTTCATTGCGGCTGGCAGTGTAGTCCCGCAAACGGTAGCTTGGTTTAGGTATTGCCATGTTGATCCGGTCAACGGTATGGAAGCACGGCCATGGTGTTCTCAACTGATTCCCAGCATATTCACTTTTGTCCAGGGCCACTACTGGTAAGCTGCCACCCCATACTTTTCAACCCGTACGGAGTCGTTCTGTGGTACTCACTCTTCCTGCAGGAATAATGGCTTCTTGAAATACTGGACCCCAAACCAGCTTCCCCTATTCTTGTTAGCCAGTCCTGTTCTCACGCTTCTCATCAGCTCAGGACTGCAAGTCATTCGTAGCTTTGGCCAGAGCCTCGGTTGGGCCCCGCCAATGGTTGAGGAGCCGTATCGTACATTTGTGCTCACACTCGCCGTGATACAGGCGCTGGTGGCCGTCCTCGCCATCACCAACTTCCACGTGCAGATCATTACTCGGCTGTCGTCCGGCTATCCAGTGTGGTATTGGTGGATAGCCAACAGCCTCAGAAACGGCGAGACTCGCAAGACGGGATCCATGGTGGTCGTGTTCATGGTGATGTATGCCGGCATCCAGGGAGGCTTGTTTGCGTCGTTTCTACCTCCGGCATGAGGAGGACTCGATCGATGTGCTGTCCCAATACAAAGGAACAGGACTCGCCCGGGCCTCTTATGCAACCTAACCCCCTGTATCGTCTCCTCGCCGAGGCATAGAATACTCATCATTCTGCACCTACAAAGACGCATGCATTTGCTTGTTCCTGACCGAGCAAAAGATGAGCATCTCCGTTATACCAGGTCCAACATAGCCTATCCCTCAATCATGTACTCCGTGTCTATCTCATCGTCGACAATGCGCCTTGCTTGAAGTACATACCAAGCGCCACTCAGGGGTCCCTTCATTGTGTGTGAATTGATGCGCCGCCTTTCTGCATCGGATATCCGCACATGTTGTCTTGTGCTTTGATGCCCATGCCCGCCATCATGACGCGCGTCCGTCTGCTCTCGAGGCTCACAAGCTGGGCAGCTGGCAGTTTTTCATGACGGGCTGTTCTGCCATCCAAGCCCTACACCGCCTGTACCGTCATTGCAAACGGAACATCTCAAGACTTTTGCCTTCATCAGTCACCATTCCACTCTCTTTTCGACAGCGACAGGCGCAGGTAGGTTTTGTTCCGTGCCCGGCCGCGATGCGATGCACAGCTTGACTGGGACGCCTCGACAGCTCTTGGATATATCAGGGGATACGCAGCACACTTTTACCGACTGGGAATTACCGACTGACGCGAGCATTCGCTATACCAACAGGACCATCTTCCAGATTCCACCAAAGACGGCTTCTCAAACACGCCGAAATGATTGCAACAGACAGTGAGAGCGACACCCTCTCCGGGGAGGCCACAAGAACCACGTCCCAGGACATCCAGGGCCAGCATCATCAACACGGTCTCACCACCATCAGCCTCGATGCCGACAGCGACTTGAGGCTTTGGCTGCAGCACACCGGCTTCTTCGACGTCGAGCACCGCCAAAGGGTTCTCGTCGCGCTGCGCAAGCTAAAGGACATTGACGAGCAGCGCTGCAAAATCGTCTCGGAAATGCGCTCCTCTGCGGATTATTACCTCGTTTCTCCGACGCCGCCGCTGAGCTCCTCGACTATGTTGGCGAGCCCCTCGTCCTTGTCCCTGGCGGCGGCGGTGGCTCCAGCAACAACAAGGACGCGGCAGGCGGCAGGCTATGATTACGTCGACGCGCGCTCAGCGGCCTTTGCGGGCTCGAGTGAGCGTTGTGGCTCCGAGATCTCCTCGTTGACGAGAGGGGCTGCTGGGTCCGACAATGGCGGGTACATGGCTTTTGGCAATAGACCAGTGTCCCGTCAGGAGCTGGATGTTGCTGCTATTCCCTCCATGGCTCCTCTACAGAACCCTCAACCGTCTGCTGAAGCCACTCCGTCGCCTGTGGACCCAGACTACGACAGTGTAGAAGCAGAGTCGCCGCCGCTCCTGTCGGATAGGGAAGAAGAAGAAGAAGAAGCCCATGACGCCGCAGCACCTCGCTGCCTCGCTGGCAAAGGCAGATCTGCAAACAGATACCCTCCAGCCCAGGCCTTGTCGCCGGTTCCTAAGCAAGGTAATCTTGGAATCTCGTGTTTCTGACTTCCCCCTATATCTCGGTGACACACTCCTCTAACAGGGATAACTAGAGTCGAGATACTTTCTGGTCAAGTCCTTTAACGTGTCCAACGTCGAGTTGTCTCAGCGAGACGTAAGTACATGATCCCAGCCCAGCCGGTTTTTGCTATGTAAACCTTCTCTCGAAGATAACTCATCATTCACTTTGGAAAAACAGGGCTTGTGGATCACAAAGGCCAAGAACGGCTCCCTCTTCGCAAGCGCCTTCAAGACGCACAAGAACGTCTATCTCATCTTTTCCATCAACAAGTCCAAGGCTTTCCAAGGATACGTAAGTCCACACAACTCCAAACTAATAACCAAGCCCAACTTATGAATCGTACATTACGCGCCCCATACATTGAAAAGAGCTCATCATCACAAAAACTAATCCATCATACACAAACACACATACAGGCCCGCATGGCCTCCGCCCCCGACGACAGCATCCCCCCCGCAAAGTGGATGAACAACATCACCTGGGAAGCCAGCGGCCCCTTCCGCATCACATGGCTCAACACCGACCGCACCGAGTTCTGGAGGCTCGGCGACCTCAAGAACCCGCTCAACGACGGCAAGCCCGTCTTCGTCGGCCGCGACGGCCAGGAGTATCCCGAGGCGTGCGGCCGCAAGATGGTCCGCATACTCGACCGCGTAGAGCGCGGCACGAGGGAGAGGGAGAGGCGTCGTGGTGGTGGTGGTGGTGGTGGTGGTGGTGGTGGTGCTGCTGCTGCTGCTGCCGTGTCGTCGTCCTCATCGTGGAAAGAGCGGCGGCTTTGTGGTGGTGGTGGTGACGGTGGCAAGCTGGAGGGAGACGGCGGTGAGGCCAACGAGGACGACGAGACATCATCGCCTTTGGGACACCATCAGGTGTCGGACAATGGTGATGCTGCCTCGGCTAGTACAGCAGAAGACTTGCTGTTGCTGGAGTATTGACAAGTTTTCAACACTTCTGGCAGTTGTGGGACGGGAAAAGCAGAAATGAACGAGGAGACATGGCATTAGACCGTCTTACAAACCGGCTGGAATGGCATCTTCGTCCGTACAAGGCTGATTGAAAACGTCTGGTTTATTAGGGCGTCCTAACGTATACTGACCATGTTTCTATCGAATCAACTTGTGATAACTATACAGTACCCAATGCCAGCCGCTGCACCAAAAAAGATGAGAAAGACATGAAAAAAACGAACAAACAGCTTGCAGAATGCTTAAACAGTCTCGGCATGCAAAGCTTAAACTACATTTCCAACCCGCTGTGTTATAATTCCCCATACATGCTCCCGATATTACATCCCAGCAATTCATGACGCAAAATTTCAAGCACCAGACACCAGTAATTCCGGTATAAAACCAAAAGGCATAAGGAAGGAAAACAAACCACCTTCTCGTCATTCCAGTACGGTTCGAATAAGAGTTGCCAACGGCAGGCACCAGGATAGCATGGCACAACTTCAAGCTGCATCCTCTCTGTCCCTCGAGTAAGTGAACAGACGCTCGTCCAGGTCTTCTCAACAGCCACCCAGCTAATAATCATCGTCCGAGTCGCTGTTGTCGTGAATCGTAATTGCTCGCCATCGCCTATCGGTCAGGTCCTGTGCCGCCGTGCCCTCACTTTCCGGATCGACATAGCCTTCACCTCCACCAAGGCTCAGCGCAACTGGCAGGAATACCAGGGCGTGGAGGGCAGCAAAGACGACCAGGGCCAGCCACACGCGGAAGTAGTAGATTTCGAAAATCTTGGACCGCGTAAACGCAAGGACACTGACACCCAGCAGCTTGGTAACCGTGATGCCTGAAAAGACGGATCCGCCGACGTTGACCAGTGCTGTCCAAGCACGAGCATCTCGCCCATTGACGTTGAAGCTGTTCTCCATGACCGTTCGTGAGGGGAACATGAAGGCTCGGGCAATATGCGCACAAAACTCAACTGAGATTCCGACGCAGATGATGAGATTCACAAGAGACACGGCATTCAAAGAAACGTTGAACACCACCATCGCGCCCATGATGTCAATGACGCTCATTACAACCGTCAAAGTCACAATGGCCGACGTGCGAACGGAGCCCAAGAGGAACGATGCAATGATGAAGATGGCACCGACAGCAGCGCCCAAGAGTCCAGCCGTCAGTTGGATGATGCTCAAATACTGGTCGAAGAAGATGTAGAACACGCTGTAGGGGAAGACATCCGCCCCGGTTTCCTTGGCGATCTCAGAGGCTATGCGGCGCGCAGAGGAATAGGCCTTGATAAAGTCGTCTTGGCTGCGAAGGCGGGTATGCGCGGTCCTGAAATGGCTAGCTTTGACATGTGCAGAATCCTTGTCCAAGACGACTGCGTCTCCGTAGGAGGCTTGACCGCCCAGCGGGCAGACATCATCCGTCTTTGCGGCGAGGAACTTTTCGAGGTAGTGGATGAACTCGCCGTCCTCGGGCATTCCATAGAGGGATGTGTTCCAGGCCGGCTGGCGGTCTGCAAAGCAGGTTGAGCCATGTTCAATGCAGCACTGGTCATAGATGGGATTCAGCCACAGGAAGAAGTCATCGATCCAGCTTGCCGTCGGAGACATGATGTACGAAATGTGGGATCGCTGCCTCTCAAGCTCCAGCGTGTTGGTCAGCGAGAAAGGCTGGCATGTAGTGAACCTTGAGCAGAGTGCCTGCTGCTGCGGGCGCTGAGACGCGTCAACCCCTCGGGTGACAAAGTACACTGGAGGTCCGGTTTCGAGATAGTCGTAGAGGTCATTGAAGTACGGGATCAAGTAGGAGCCGTCGGGAATAGCAACGCGCTGGTCCAGCCCCAGCTGGATGCCCGGCAGCAGGGCGATGGCGGCCGATAAGAGTCCGAGGAAGATGGCGACGACGGCGACTTTGGTCTGCCTTCGCAAAAGGCCAGGCGCGTAGGTGTTTCTGATGAAAATCTGCAGGTAGCTCTCTTCATCGGCATCAGACGCTCTTCCGGTTGCGGGGCTGAAGCCATTGCTGCCGTTGAGACTGATCCTGGCCTTCTTGACCTGCCACCACGGCCAGAGTTCGCATCGGTGGTCTTCCACTCGCATTTGGTTCAAGGCGAGGAAGGATACAAACATGGTCATCTGAAGAACGGCGTTGATGAGGACCGCACCAGCGGCATACGCAGCAAAGTTGCGGACAGCAGGCATGCCAACGGCCGATCCAAGGGCAAACGCAAAGGTCTCGGTCAGGGCCGAGAAAAGAATGGAGGGTCCCATGCGGCCCAAAGCCCGAGACACTCTCTCCTCCACCATCTGGTCCGGGAAGTTGACATTGACTCTTTCAAGCTCGTGGACAATGAGAAAGATGTTGTCAACACCGACGGCCAAGACGATGAAAGGAATTACTTCGACGATGATGAGCGTAGCCTTGAGGCCAACCCAGGAGAAGAAACCAATCGACGCGGAGATGGACATAAGAACAATGAGGATGCCGGCAAGACCCAAGGTGACCTTTGATTCGACGAGCAGCAGCGCAGGGTTTCCAAACAGGTGCTTCAAAGGAGTGCCGAGGGCCAAGCACGCGTAGATGAACATGACAATGTAGCTTATGACGACGATTTTGGCATCCGTATTTGTCGACTTGTTGAGCTCCTGTTCCAGACTAATCTCGGTGGTAAAAGACAGTCGGAGGCCACGACCCTTGGCTTCTTCCTGAACTTCAAGGAGTCGATCGCGGAGTGCATTTTCCCAGTCAATGGCGCGAAGAAGCGCATCGGATTTTTCAGGGGCATTGTTGACCACCCAGGTGACAGTCATCGCTTGAGAGTCAGCAACGTCACTGCCCCAGCCGCCCAGAATCATGGTGGGTTCGATGGGCTGTCCAAAGGCAGGTCGGCACTCGACGGGAGATTGCGCGCAGCTGCGCAGGTCATCCTTCCAGTACTTGGGGTCGATATCTCCTCCTTTTGCGTACCAATATTGCGTAACAGACTGCACAACACAGGCATCACCGGTAGGCTTGAAACAAACGTCGTCGAGCGAGCTTGCATATGTTGGGCCCTTGAGGCTCTCAACGCTCTTCTCGACATCCATCCACCACTTCAAGGTCTCGTAGCTAAGAACGGGGCTAGGGCCAGAAGCATCGGTGTCGTTTACCAAGAAGATCTTTTCGGCTCGGAAAAAGGGGCCAAAGTTGGAGTCGAAGTATTCTTTCTCTTGGGCGGCAGCCGAAGACGGGCTGACCCAGAGTCGAGCAGGGTCTTGCTCTATATCGAACCGGATCCAGCCGGCACTCAGAGCAGCAACCACCACCAGACTAACGCCTATGGTCAGGCCTGGGAATCTTGCGGCCGTGTTTCCCAAGTGACGAAAGGCCTTGTCGCATCTGTCGTTGAGCCAGTATCGCTTCGTTGGCTGATCTCGCATAGCATCAGTAAGGATAGGCCCTCCCTCGTCTTCATCATCGCTGTGAGATGCTTCGTGAAGCAGGCGAGTCCTTTCGACGCGGCGCTTGAGATATCTGAACCAGAAGATGTGGCCAAAAACAGCGGTTAGGAGAGCCAGGAGCAGGATGCCATACGTGAAGATGGACGCGAATGACAGACACGGAAGCTTTCCCACCCGGCAGGATCCAGCCTCCTTGACATCTGGTAGTGTAGGGCACACCTCGGGGCAGTCAACGCAAACGCATCTATAGGCAGGGTCCTCGTCGTTGCATTTCTTTGGCGTCATCTCCAGCGGTTCCATCCCAGGCTGGTCGTATTCTTCCGGGAAGTTGATCTGGAAGGGCGAGCCAACAAATGGCTTCTTGTCGCCGAGAAACTTGAGCATGTCGTGATAATTCGTGGCTCCACCGCCAATCAGGTCCATGGCCCTGCTGTTTGCACCTCCAAACTTGACCTCCTTGCAGCTATTGTATAGGCCCGAGCCGTATTCTTCGGAGATGAGCTGGTCGAGCTCCGTGACGAGCAGCTTGCCATTCTTCGGCGCGGCATCGGTGACGTTGATAAAGGTCGATTGGTCGGGGGAGCACGTGAACTTGCAAAACATGTTGAAAAAGTTGTGCTTGCAGGCCGGGCATGAACCGATGAGGGTCCTCGGAGTGCCCATTTCCTTCTTCAGCGCTTGCACCTTTTATCCAGCGTTAATAACATCGTTTCTCGGAGGGCGAGGGAGGAGGCACGACGGCATACCTGTTCCATGTTACAGCAGACAGCTCCGTCGCTCCATTCGGCGCCGCAGAGCTCAACCAGCTCCTTTCGAAGATCCTCGTCCGGATCGTGCGCGAGGCCATTGTCGACACAGGGCAGCTCCTTGCCAAAGAGGCTCTGCTTGCCACACTGGCCCCGGAACGCACAGCGGCCCAGCTCATGCTTTGGCGTGTACGATTCCGCAGCGGCGCTCGAGCCGATGAACAAGGCGGCTAGCCCTGAAAGCAGCACCGCCCGACGCATGGCGCCTCCTGGCCGAATGGCCATCAAACCGACTGTTGAGACGTGCTTTCACAGCGTCTCGTCCGCGATTATGGGGAAGATTCTGTGTGATGGCAATTCTGTAGAGAGAGAGAGAGAGAGGGAGAGACGGCGATGCTTTGAGTGTGTATGATTGCGTCACGGATGGAGAGTTGACGGGGCATAAGGGTAGCGGTAAACGCAGCGGGTTGGTTGATATAAGCACGGGGGACAGTAGCGCGGTACGTACCCTTTGGGGCCGGTGGGGGCCGCCTCCTGCTATTTCGGGCAAGGTACCAGGCGGCAACGCCAGTGGTGCCTTGTGTACCTGGTGGCTGTTAGGCGCTGAGACAAGCAGCTTGACAGCTCACTCAAGGCCGGTATCACAAACAGGCTCGATTTCAAGCTTTACAGGGTTACTATTAGGGACTCAGTGCATGAGGGGGCGGTGTCAATTGTTTGACAATTGGAGTCAATCAGGGTCGATCAGGGTACACCGACAAGCGGGCTCTTTGACGTCATTGGCCATTTCACTGGCAACATGCATCCCCTCCCTCACTCTCATGCCTTGGCTTCCATACCCAAGTTGCCAAGGTACTGTAAACCCTTCATACGGTAATAGCTGGGACTGCAAACCGAAGAGGTCATCGTATATTGAGGCTTCCCAACCAATCCAAAACAGCTTGCTGGCCAGCGTCGTTCAACCCAAGCTCCTCGCCCTCTTGTCCCACCTCGACGACCTGCACTCTGCGCTCCGGCTCTCTTGCCAGCCGCTGCGCGTCTTCATCCCACTTGGCCCGCTCCTTAAGCTCGACCATTTCGATGCTCCGCCGCATGAAGCTGGCCATTTCAGCTGCCTGCGCCATGAACGTGTGTCTCGTATCTACGACTTTGGACCTCGACTTTGTTGTTGTTGTTGTTTTGCTCTTCGTTTGAGCTCCAAGGAGGTGGTGGTGGTCACCATGATCACGAGCATGATGATGCAACGGTGACCTCGACGGTGCGTCGTGCAAGAGCAGCGTTTCGGGAATCTTGAGAGTCGACGCTCTCGGGGGAAACACAAGGTGGGATCTGCGAGACGCCTCCAACGTCTCGTCCGACGTGTCATGCTGCCCCTTCATGGCGTTGACGAGGCTGGCATACGCGGCAGACGCGTAGAACGACTCGGGAATGGCCAGCCCCGGGTTGTGGAAGAAGAGGCTCGGGCTCGCAAAGGGGTCGAACAGGTTGTGCGGCTCTTGGAACAGGGCCACGAGCCTGTCGCCCAGGGCGTCGAGCCTGAGATTGCCGTTGTTGCGTTGCAGCGCCCTCCATGCGGCCCTCGCGGACTTGGCGCCGCGGACCTTGTGGCCCGGCAGGAACATGGTCCAGTTGTAGACGCCGTTGTAGGCCGCGACGCCGCGGACGGCAAAGCGCTTGTGCGGGTGGGCGTTTGTCAGGGAGAGCGACATGGCCAGGCCGGCGCCGAGGTGAGAGCCGTAGACGTAGATGTTGCCGCGGCCGCTGGACGGGGGCTTCAGCGCTTCGACTACCCATTGGTAGGCAAATGCCACATCGTGGATTGGCACCGGCCAGTCGACTGAGTAGTCATCGTCGACATGCTCCCCGTCCTGGCTTGCGGCCCGGGGAGGTTCGGTTGCCCACCGGTAGTTGATGCTGGCAACGGGCCAGTCGTGCAGAAACTCCGGCAGTTGCCTCACGCCATGGGCACTGTCCGGCAGCGAAGGCAGATGCAGGAAGAGGACCTTTGTAGGCGAAAACTCATCGACGTTGTACAAGCTATTTGCAGGAGTTAGCACCTCGGGTGAATGAAGTCTTTCGGTGGGTTTCGTCGTGAATTTACAGACTCGACTTCCACTGAGCCCCCCGAGCCGCACGTCACCGGGACGCTCTTCCGGACAGGAGGATGGGCTGATCTCAGCACGCTGAAGCATCGACGACGAAGCGATGAAGAAAACATGGCGAAAGGAGACTCGGGGGCGTCAGTCAACTCGCCCCATGCGTACCGAGTACGGGTGCTCTGCTGGAGGAGCGTCGCATTTGCTCTGGGCTGTTACCCTGCAGTAGACGAAAAAATTTGGTGGTGTCGTTGTTTCACTCTGTCTTGGAAATAGCAGCCTGAATGAATGCTGAAGCGTGGACCTCAGCAGGTGAAGCTACTTCTCCGGTCTTTCGTCTTTGAAGTTGTGTATTTCCCAATGAATGGTATGTTATACGGACGATTGCAGTGTGAAGTTCATTTGACTCGAAAATTGCCTAGCTGGTAGACCTGCTGCTCGTGCTGCTTCGTACCTAACAATAGCTCAGGATCCAGCAGTAAAAGTCCACATAATTTGGGCAGCCAAGATTCATGCCATGCCCCGTAAAAAGACCGCTAATACCTTAATCGCCAAATGTACATACAGGTACGGTACACACATGCCGCGACCAACCCCGAACTCGTGCAAATCCGATCCCAATCCCTCCTCCTCACCGTGAGCTGTTAAAACACGCCATACTGCCCTCTCTCATCTCACCTCACATCAGCTCATCTCAAGCACACAAAGCACCGGGATTGACAACAGTCAACTGCAGTGTTTGCCGATCCTGTGCAATGGCCACTCTGCGGCAATTCATCGTCTTTGGGACAGACAGTGGTGGGTTACATCTTCTCCAAGCATTGCCCAACGACCAATTCACCACGCTCGTTGTAGTGTGTGTGTGTGTGCAAAACGTTTAGACTGCATGTTATTTCTATTCCATATCAAGATGAAAGCAGAAGAAAGAAACAAAAGTTGACGGATTGACCGGCTAACCCTGACGCCTGCCAAGCCGGCCTCGAGCGTTCATTACGCTTCGTCCAGGCCCTAGTCATCCTCATCGCCACATACCCAACCGCTCAACTCGCCGCCCTGCTCCATCGGACGTCGATCAGCGCCAGAGTCCCGCCCTCAGCGTCATTCTTGCAGCTGCAGTCCAGGATCAACCTGACCAGACGCCTCCTGCGCCTCTTCCGGTTCCTGGAGCAGTTCAAGCTGGGCTGGGATATTTATGCCTCTGGCGTGCTGGATTTCGACACTTTCCTCGATGTGGTCGGCAAAACGTGTCTGGGCATCTTCGGCATGCTCGAGTCCGTCACTCTGCTGGAACTGCTGGAGATTGACCAGCTGGAGATATTCGGTCCCGAGCAGACTGCAAGCTTGAATTATCAAGCTCAATATTTCTGGCTCATCGCTCTATGCATCTCTCTTTTTCGCTCGGGCACCAGGCTGTTGCACTTGCTAGGCAATCGTAAAATGATCCCCGGTCCCTCGTCTAGCCGGGACGAAGGGGAGAAGGAGAACTCGCAAAAGGTGGGCGAGCATCAAAATGGAGGCGAGGTCTCTTCGTCGAGAAATGGTGTTGCAACTCATGTGAAGGGAACCGAGTATTGTATGGAAGCCAAGAGCGGAGCAACAGAGCCCGGCGATGCTGTCTCTTCGTTGGTGATGAAGATCCTGGCCGACGCCCTGGACCTGCTCCTTCCGGCAACTGCTGTTGGGCTGGTCGAACTGGATTCCGCGGCCATTGCAAAAGCCATGATCATCAGCACAGTAATCACCGCCAACGATGTATGGGTCAGGTGCGGCAAGGAAATGCATCGTCGATAAGGGTCAAATCGTCATAGGGCGGAACCAGAGCTGAGTAGCATAGCAAGCCTGATAGTAAATACAATTATACCGCCGCCAGAGGCTCGCTGCTCGTGACCTCGAGTTTTTCGGTAGGATGCTCTTGTTCCCACTCCAGTCTCTCCCGAACCATGTTCCGCTTGCACCACACAACGGTGATGGCGCCCCAAATCGCACACCATATAAATGGTACGGCCCAGCATATTCCGTACGCCACGGTTGCTGGAATGGGATGCAGGAGAGCTACGACGGTCAGGGCGGCGGCCAAGACAAGAGCAGGAATGGACCAGAACAGCGACTGGACGAGCAGCATTGTCCGAAAGCGGGGGCTGGCGTGGTAACGTGCCGCAAGAGCCTCTCGAAATGGCCGACCTGCGCCGGCATTGACTGCAACAACGTCTTCGATGAAGTAGTAAACCCCCGGCAGAACCTAATTGACAAAAGAGAGACAGTCAGTACTGGAATTCAAGAAGAGAAGATATAGAAAGGGTGTTCCTTCGTACCTTTTCACCTTTCCCGGTAGAGCTCAGGCGGAAGGGAGCTGGCCAGTTCATACAGTGGAACAGCGTAATCAGGGCCAGCACGCCGCCGATGCAGTACAGAATGGCCGGAGCTGGCATGCAGAGCACGCGCAGCCAGACCTCGTGCGGCGCACTGCCGACGATGAAGAGGGCCGTGACGGCAGTGATGGTGAGCACCGACGTCCAGTTGATGATGTCGAAGCACCAGCGGCTCTCTGTGCCCAGGGGACGGTAGAACCTCTCCTTCTTCATCAGGCGCAGCGTTCTGATGGCAAACTCGACGTATGTCGGCCCGCCCCAGATGGTGGTGACGACGGCGAAGATGATCCAGCCGGCGACATTGCCCGCGTATCGCATCGTGTAGTAGAGCAAGATGGGCACTATCGAGCCGTCGAAGAAGACCATGAAGGCAAAGAGAAACAGCCGCCAGCGCTTCCAGCCGTGATGCCACGTAAACGGCAGCTGGGGCAGCAGCTGGGGGTTGTTGCCGTAGTAGTCCTGCAGCGTCCGTTCTCGTCGCTTCCACTCCCTGCGCGTTCCGGCCCGCGAGTCGTAGTAGACCTCTGCATGTGGGCGCAGGGCATAGGAGAGGCTGCGTCGGGGTGCGTCTGATGAGCGAGTCGCTTCCAGGCTGCGGCCCGTGTTGGTGCGGTTGCTGGACACGAACGTCACGATGTTGGGCAGCGAGGTGGTGCCCTGCTGCGACGAGGTGATGCCGCCGTTGGTGGACGCATCGGCAGCCCGTCCCACGGCTGAGGTCGACGCAGAGGCATCGTTTGGCGTATCCGACAGCGATCGGACGGGTGCTGAATCCTGGCCTGCGCCGGGCATCATGCAGCGGATTATGGCGATGCGATGCGATGCGATGCGATGACCTCGGGAAAGAAACCAAGAAAAAAAAGGAACAAAAACAAGGCTTGAATGGAAGTGAAACTGAAAATGGAAGAAAAGTCGGGTATCAATGTATCGAGGAAGCAAAGATGGGAAGGGTTTTAGAAAACCGAACTACTGTTTGCTAGGCTGGGCGACGTCGCGGGCGCCATTTCCCTTATTAAGAACGTGAGCAGTTGGCAGTGGTGGTATCGAGAAGAGAGAAAAAACAGGTCAGACAGGGTTGTCAAGCAGGGCAGCGCATCGGGCAACGGACAACGGGATTCAGAACGGATGACGTTGTTGCCCGAGAGCGAGCGCCGATGGCAGCAGCAGCGCTCGAGATGATCCGGCTGAGCCGATGGCATAACAAACGCTCCGTACGGCGTAATTAAAGCCTCCAACGTCCAATGAATGTCACGCAGCCAGTGCAAGTTCCCTGGCTTATCTCTCTCTGCCACTTAAAATAAACAACAAGCTTATTATGCGAACAGACGGCTTAGAAGAATCCTTCTGGAAAATCGCCCATTAGTCCAAGTAGTAATAGTTGAGCCAGGGTTGTAATACTGGGTACTTGCTAAGGCTGTGTGCGGCTGTGTATGTAATCATTGTATCATATCGCATCCTGATGACCTCGGCTTCCCCATATTCCAAGTCCATCATTGCCTTACCCTACCTTGGTTCCGCTTACATACAACTGGAACATACAGACAGACAGACAACCACAAACAGCGCGGCGGCAAACTCGTAAACTGGAGCTTCCTAACTCTAAGCGGCAGCGCTTCACGCAACCGCGACTCCATCTCCAAATCCTCTCCAATGCGACTCTGCCGTAGACCGGAGGCTGCAGAGCCGACTGCCGTGATTTACCCCATAAAGTTGGACATGAACCGCTAGCTACTCAATCCGGGGCCTCAACACCCCCAAACCCCGCATCGTACATTGCCGATTGAAATCGAGACTCAGCAGCACTATACACGCGATAACAGCAACAATGGCAGCCTCCGTTAGAGTAATGCCCAATGTATGGCCTCGCCTCCCCCCTCCCCCCTGCACTGATGGCTTCACTTGGCATGTATCCATAACCAATCGCAATCAATTTTCTAGGCCGCCAAACGAGCTTCGAGCCTCCTTCGCACCATCCAGTACACCCATCCTCCATCGTGCCCCTGCCACTCCAACCCGGGCTACCACAAGACTGCACCAACCTCCATCTCCCAGGCTCTGAACAAAGGAGGCCGTCGCTATGCCACGCCTTCCAATGCAGACTTAAAGGAGTATGCCTTTGAAATGGCAGCCTCCTCCATTCGATTCGGTGCTGGCGCCACCCAGGAAGTCGGCATGGATCTCCAGAACCTCGGCTCGAAAAGAGTCTGTGTAGTCACTGACCAGACTGTGAATCAACTCGATGCCATGAAGCAGGTTCGAGAGAGCCTCGATCGTGAAGGCATCAACTTCAAGGTCTACTCCGACGTGAGGATAGAACCAAAAGACAGCTCGTAATGGGTCACCCGCTGTAACCTGCTACAGCCCCCCCGTGGCGCCTCTCACTTGAACTAACATGTGGACATTAGCATCAAGGACGCCATTGCGTGGGCGAGGCCATATCAACCAGATGCTTTCCTCGCCGTCGGCGGAGGCTCCGTCATGGACACGGCCAAGCTGATGAATCTCTACACTGCGTACCCGGATGCCGACTTCCTCGACTTTGTCAACGCGCCACTGGGAAAGGGGCGGCCCATTGACAAGCCCCTGAGGCCATTGATCGCCGTCCCCACCACCGCGGGCACCGGCAGCGAGACCACGGGCACGGCCATCTTCGATCTCGTCCCCAAGAAGGCAAAGACGGGCGTCGCTCACCGAAACCTCAAGCCCACGCTTGGTATATGCGATCCCCTCAACACACGCACCATGCCTGCGGCCGTCAAGGCCAGCTCCGGGCTTGACGTCCTGTGCCATTCTCTTGAGTCCTGGACAGCAATCCCCTATACCGAGCGTACACCTCGACCGACCAACCCAATTCTCCGTCCAGCTTACCAGGGTGCGAACCCCATTTCGGATATCTTCTCTCTTAACGCACTCAAGAGCACGGTCAAGTACCTTCCTCGTGCAGTGAAGGATCCGGAGGATTTTGAAGCTCAGACCCAGATGCTGTTGGCGGCAACGCTTGCTGGAGTTGGCTTTGGAAATGCGGGTGTCCATTTATGCCACGGTATGTAACCCCTCATTCCACCATTGCGCGAGCAGCTCGTTGAGAGTCGTTGTGAACGTAGGCATGTCGTATCCCATCTCGGGCCAGAACCCAGGGTATAAGCACGCCGGCTACGACATCCCGAACCCGCTCATTCCGCACGGCGTTTCGGTGGCGGTTTCTGCCCCCGCCGTCTTCAGGTTCACGGCGCCCTCTAACCCGGAAAGGCATCTCCTGGCGGCCGAGGCATTCGGCGTGGACATCTCCAACGTCAAGGCAGAGAGTGCTGGTGAGGTTCTGGCAGAGGCACTGATCAAGTTCCTCCAGGACCTGGGTGACCAGCCAAACGGCTTAAAGGACCTCGGTTTCGGCCACGAACACATTGACGCGCTCGTCGAAGGCACCATTCCTCAGGCCCGAGTGCTGAAGCTTGCTCCCAACATTTCCACCGAACTGCAGACTGAGAAGGAGCAATTGCGTGCGCTCTTCGAGGACGCCATGAGCTATTGATATGGCCTGCCGTAAGGTAGTTGGACTATCGGAACTTGTCTGGGTTACTCGGTATCATCTTCCTCAGCATAGCAATTTGTTTCACTATGCTCAGCTTTCGAAGCTCTGGGGTTCCGCGCTTGTCGGTTCGCCATGTGCCATTTGAATAGACCACCGTGTTGTCGGGCAGCACCTTGCCGCTGGCAATGATGGACAAGTGTGACACCGTGCAATTCTGAAGCCGCGTTAGCTTCCGCCCTCCCCTCCCCCTCCTTGTGATGTAGTCTGTCCGGTGGTAACTCTGGAGCTTTTACTTGCCTTTCCGATCCTGGCGCCACTTCCAATTCTGCTTCCAACCTGAATGACGCTGCCCTCACCAATTTCTGTCCCTCCCGCCTCGACGACCGAGCCTGCTTCGATGAGAACGTAGTCCCCAAGGCTGACGCCGCCTGCGCCCTTCCCGGTATTGTCTGGAGGGGCGCCGAGATGCACCCGCTCTTGGACGATGCAGCGCCGCCCGACGAGGACGCTGCCGACGCTGGACTCGATGCGCGACCGGGGGTGTATCACCGTCTCTGCCTGCATCGTGATCGAATGGCTGCCCAGCAGGACTGCATTATCCGATATGGTGAGGGATGTGGAGAAGTTGACGGGTGGCTTGGGGCCGCTGCGGTCGACGGCCGGGAGGATGGAGTGCCTCTTGCTTGACATGGCGCGATGATGCCAAAGGGGACGGAGGGTATACCGAGAGGCAGAGAGAGACGGAGTTGATGTTGAAAGTAGCTTCAGAGCTCTGTGCAGAGAGCGCCCTGTGCTGGCAATCAACAACTGACAAGCATCATCCAATCATTGAGCAGGGGTGCGCGCGCTAGGCCTTGGACGCACTAGTGTCACTCATGTGCTAAGCAAGTGAGCCGGCTGCACTAGTACCGTTGCGGTAACATGAGATTACCTAAACTTGCTCCAGTGATGGCCCTTTTCTTTTCTTCTCATCTCGATCAGTTGTGCATTGAATGCGTACATATACTTGTTGTCATTCAATTCTTCTACAGAAATCAACTATTTACAGAAAACAAATCATAAGCACACGCCAATCTTAACAGCATCCTAATTGTCCTTGTCAACCACCAGGCTGTCCAGTCCGCCCTCATAGGACCCGATATCGTATTCCTCAGGGTATGCTTCCAACATGGACTTGAGCTGTCCCATCTGCTCTTTCAGATCTGGCGTCAGCTTCTCATACACATCCTCGAACATGGATCTGATGGGCGGCTTCTTCTCCCTCTCTGCTTCGCTAAAGGCCTTTAGTATTTCTTTCCTCAGGCTGTCCCTGGCCTCCTTCTCCTTGGTCTCGTCCCAGCAGCCCTTGGCCTCCATCCACTTCCTCAGCCGGGTAATGGGGTTGTCTCGCCGCTTCCAGTCCTCGACCTCGACGCGAGCCCGGTACGCAAATGAGTCGTCGGAAGTGCTGTGATGAGAGACACGGTACGTCATTGCTTCGATCAGAACTGGCTTGCCACCATCCTGCAGGGCCATCTCCCGTGCTTTCTTCGTGGCCTCCCTGACTGCCCAGATGTCGTTTCCGTCGATTCGAATGGTGTCGATTCCATACCCGATGCCCCTGCTTGCGATGCCGTCTCCCCGGTACTGGTCGAGGGTAGGTGTAGAAATGGCGAATCCGTTGTTGCGGCAGATGAAGACAACGGGACAAGAGCGCGTGGCGGCAATGTTGAGCGCTGCGTGGAAATCACCCTCACTGGCGGCTCCTTCGCCGAAGAAGACGGCCGCTACCCGCGGCTTTACGCTGGGATCCTGCAGCCTCTGTAACTTGAGCGCATAAGCCGCCCCCGAAGCCTGCGGAAGCTGCGTTGCCAATGGTGAGGAGACGGTGTGCTTTTTGCCGAAATCGTGGTTAGCAAGCGAAGTCGCGGGCGTAACACCGCAGGGGGCGTGTACTCACGATGTTTAGCGGCTTGGACCCGTAGTGAATGGGCATGTTCCTCCCCCGGCCGTTGTCCTTTTTGTTGGCAAAGAGCTGGGACATGAATTGCTCCGTCGTAAACCCCCTCTCCTTGAACAGGCCCTGCTCTCGGTACTGGCAGAAGACGACGTCCTCTCGGTCCAGCACACTGGAGCTGCCGACGCTGACGGCTTCCTCGCCCGCGCTTACCATATAAAAGCTCAGGCGGCCCTGCCTCTGGGCGTCGAACATGATGAGATCCATGATGGAGATGAACAGCATGTCCTTGTAGAGCTTGATGACGGCATCGTCGCTGATGTCGGGGGTGAAGGAGGGGTCGACCACTTGGCCGTTCTGGTCCACGACTCGGTACGTCGGCAGAGCCGTGTATGAGTCGGGCGTCTCGAACTTGAGGGTGCTGGTGAAGGAGCTCTTGAGAGCGCCGGGGAACGAGACAAAGTTGGAGTTGGGGCGCTGAGACAGGCTGCCAGCACTCCGGACCGGGTTCGAGATGACGGAGACGGCCGGCTTCATGTTTGCTGCGGCGGCGGCCAGTCTCCGTACTGAGGCCCTCTGGAGGACGCGAGGGTTCATCTTGAGCGGGTTCATCATTGCGCCTTGCTGCAGGATTCACAATCTCGTTCTTCTGATTGACTGATTCACAGCAGAAAAAGCACGTGTATGAAAGCAGGCCCTCTTGATTATAATAAGCAAATCCGGGGATGGCTCTGGTTAATCGTTGTCTTTATGCTCGGGACAAGGCGCGAGTCTGCCGATGGAGAGCGGCCACAATTGAGCCGACAGAATCCGTCAGCACGCTAACAGGGGGCACTTCTTCCGAGGTTTCTTTAGGTAAGCCGCAGCTCCTCGCCTTGGGCTTAACATACTCGTACCTTGCCTCCTGTATGTGTAATATGGGCGGTTGAGTCTTGTTGGTTCAGGATGTTAGAGCTGCCTTGTGTCGCTGCCGTTGAATCATTCTGGTGGTGAAGATATCAGGGCGTTATTGCTTTGAGTACTCCGTACCTTACCGTAGGTGTGATGGTAATATGGACTTCACCTGCACCGGGATAGCATTAATTCCCAGGAACGATTCTCTGGTCAGCGTCTAAATGTAGTAGTATTCGAGGTCTTTCATTATCTCTATTTCTTGCTCCAGGCACCTCAAGATGGGCTTTACGTTGTCTGTACGGGGCAATACTCATTCTACCGTTGGTGAACGGACGGACGAGTGGCAGCCAGGTGGCAGAACATGCGCAATTACTGCACCAACTGGCAAAGATGATTGCTTAACAATTTCAGTCGCTTGGGATGAGGGATGTGTAATTTTCTTCTTTTTCAAGCTTTGAAAAAACTACATCACGAACGCATTATCTCGACAATTGAAGCCATCACCAGCTCTACCTATCTCACAGCACCTTGCCTTCACCACACAGCTACAGCGATTCTTGACTCCAACTTGCAAATATTCAGCACCTCACTAAGGCAAAAAACAAACCAAAGCGTTTCATTATCTGGAGGAGCTTTTGCTGTCTATTTTTACTCACTCTGCCTCCCATCAAATGGCCACCCCAGCGATCAACCTGGTGATGCTCATCCTCAGCCTCTTCGTCTTCGTCGCTCTGATTGGCTGGCTGTGCCAGAAGAGTATCCACCGCTTTATCCAGGCCCTCGCCGTGTATCGCCAGCAAAACATCCAACCTCAGTCCACTTCCAGCGACGTTGAGGCAGCAGAAAGGCTGTAGATACTCATTGGTAGGGACTTGATTCTCCCCAATTTGATGCTTGTCTTGCCATTTGCTAACCTGGTGCCTTTCAGATTGACAGGATTGCGCCTCATTGCAGCATAGCTTCTGGCAGAGAAAAAATAGATCTCATCTCCATCTACTACTCATTCACAACCAAGACCACACTCACCATAGAACCGTCATCATCCTCTTTCTCTGACCAGGAAACGGAGGGGATTCAAAAGCAAACAAAACAGACAAGAGATATACACACAGCAATGTCTGCTCCTTCACTCCTAAGAAGCCGCGCAGGCCTCTTTCGGCCCGCGGCCTGCATCTCCCGCATGAACCATCGCCTCCTCTCCACCACACGCCCGCCTCGGTCATCATCAGAGCAGCCATCGTCCACCTCAGACCGCCAGACTCATTTCGGCTTCGAGACCGTTACGGAATCCGTCAAGCGGGAGCGGGTTGCCGAGGTCTTCACCAGCGTTGCAGAATCCTACGACAAGATGAACGACTTGATGTCACTGGGCGTTCATCGTTTGTGGAAGTGAGTCTCATATCTCAATTTGTCTTCTTCTTCTTCTTCTCATGTGCACCCATCCGAGCCAATCTAAACATACGTACGCCACTCTGTACCTATATGTGCTAACCGACATCTCTCTCACTCCCAGGGACTACTTCGTCTCCTCATTGAACCCAGGAGCCACAAACCCCCCCGGCATGCCGCAGCGCATCCTCGACGTCGCCGGAGGCACCGGCGACATCGCCTTCCGCATGCTGCAGCACGCCCACGTCCACAACGGCAACCCAAACGTCCACGTCACCATCTCCGACATCAACCCCGCCATGCTCGCCGTCGGCAGGCAGCGCTCCCTAGCGCTCCCGGCCTCCCACCAGTCCTCCCTCTCCTTCCTCGAGGCAAACGCCGAGGCCCTGCCGTCGTCGCTCGAGGACAACTCGCTCGACCTGTACACGGTCGCCTTTGGCATCCGCAACTTCTCCAACATGCCCGCCGCCCTCAAGGAGGCGTACAGGGTCCTTAAGCCGGGTGGCGTCTTCGCGTGCATGGAGTTCTCCAAGGTCGACAAGTACCCCCTGTTCAACGCCATCTACAAGCAATGGTCCTTCAGCGCCATCCCGCTCATCGGCCAGCTCGTTGCGGGCGACCGCGATAGCTACCAGTACCTGGTGGAAAGCATTGAGCGATTTCCCTCTCAGACAGAGTTCCGAGACATGATTGCCGAGGCGGGCTTTGCCATTGTGGGACAGGGATACGAGGACCTTACCGGCGGTGTCGCAGCCATTCATAAGGGAATCAAGCCCCTATGAGTACCTATTTCCCTAATCTCTGCCACCTTGTCTTGTATAATAGTGTAGTAAAGAAATCGACGCATTCCGAAGCCAAAAAATCAACGCGAAGGGGATAATCGTCCGAGACCGCCGTCACTTTAAACATATCGGCAAGAACAAACATGACTGCCAGTGCAAAGCTAGGTAGCATGTTTTTATCAAAACTTATTACATCAATTTCTCTCTTTTTTTCTTTCTTTTAGTGACTGAACTATTTTGAGGTGCCAATGAAAAAGGAAGGCTAAAAAAAACTCTCAAGCCAACACATAGTCCTCCCGGAAGCTCATGAGATACGTTATGTACTGCATGAATAGTTCTGGACCTTGCTCTCATACCTTCCAGAGCCTAACGCCAGTTTGTCCCAAAGGAAAACCACGTGAACCAGATAGATTTCTCAAGGCTGGGCGTGCCCGAAGAAGAAAAAAGTAAAAGAAGAAAGTCGGACAAGAACGCCCACTACAGCGGGCTGAGACGATCAGGGAACGCCATGCTCGCTGGCCCGACTTAGTCGGCAGAAGGGGTAGAGGGTGTCGCCGCAGGTGATGCACCCGTATCCCCCTTCAGACCTCCTCGTCCACGGGATCCGCGTCCTCGCTCGCCACCCCGAGCTCCACGGCCTCCGCGGCCACCTCGCCGGTTGCTCTCGGAGTCGCTAGTACCGCCGGCGCTGCGATATCCGCTCGTGCCAGTTCCGCCTCGTCCGCTGCCACCCCAGGTTCCGGCATTGCCGCGGCTGTTGAAAGGCTTGCCTTCTCGATGGTGAAAGATCTTAACCAGGGGTTTTGACCGATCCTCCGTAGTCCGCGTCTTGACAGACTCTGGTAACCTGCCCATGGCTGCATCGCGGTCTTCGATTGTTCGGAACTGAACGACCTTGTTTGAGCCACCCCATTTCTCAATCTTGAGAATCTTGGCCTTGTCCGCCTCATCAAACAGATCACGGCATTGCTCCTCTGTGTTCACATTCATAATGAAAAGGCCAATGATATCAGATGCCGAGGTTTTGGGGGCCGGCGAGGTGGCCGGTTCGGGGGCGTTTGCAGATCCATTCGTCGAAGCTGCTGCCTTGTCAGCGTCCTTAGCAGCTGGGCCGCTGCCCGTGGTGGGTTGGGGGGTCTGTCGGTTCGTTGTCGCGGGAGCGGGAACACTGGGAACGGCCTTCAGTGGTTGAGCTGATGGGGATTGTTTAGAAGCAGGTGCGGTGGGCGTAGCAGAAGCCGCCGCGCTCGTTGGAGCGCCAGCGGCTGTTGATGTGGGAGCAGCAGATGACTGCTGCTTGGCTCCTCGGTGGGAAAAGTTGAATCCCTGAGCACGCATCTCCGTCCCAATCCTTCCGTCTTGGATTTCCAGAACCAGATAGCCAAAAGCGGCATCGGCGAGGTTGAAATTCCACATGTTCTTGAAAGCGCTCTCGTCAACTGCGCCAACACCCTGACCGGGGCCCCCGAAAGGATTTCCACCAGCAGCCGTCGAGGGCATCTTTTCTACTATTTGCAGGGCGTTCTTCAGCAGGTTCTGCTGGGCCTCGTTCTGCTGGATCGCCGGCTCCACTTCTGACCGGACAGTTTCCCAGACGTCGTTGAAAGAGGCTTTCGAGGCGGCGAGCTTCCCACGGTAATGGTCAAGCGTAGGGTTGACGCTGAATTCGTTGTAGGAGCTTCCGTACCTGAAGTGAAGTCCGGCTGAAATGGAAAAGTCCGCCTTCAGAGTGACAGAGAGCTGATTCAGTATACCCTCGCGAGCAGGAGAAGCGTGCGTGATAAAGACTCGGGTTTCGGTAGGATCGTAGACGCGATGAGCAGTGTCAACCAGCTCTCCCATCTGTAGCAGAGTCGTCCACATTGTACCTTGTCCTCCTGCAATGGTGGTGCGGCCCTCTCCGTTGTCGAATAACTTATGCATAACCACGGCACCACCAAGACCAAGGAGTCGGAGCTTCACACCGCCCACTTCTAGCAGCATGGAGCGAGCTTCGTCAATGATATGGAGGTTGGGAACTTTGTACTCGGACGATCTGAACTTTTCAAGAACCCGGACATCCTCGCAGGCACCCCAGACGGTATAGACGGGAACGTCGAGTTTCAGCTCTCCGCTGAGCAGAAGAGGAAGTTCGGAGAGGGGCAGCTCGCTCGCAGAGAATCTGGACTTCACAGAGCCGGGTCCACCCTGCTGGATAGCCTTCTTGACCGGTTCGGAGATCAGTGGTGAGTACTGTGCAACATGCTTCAGGGTCTTCTCCACGATTCTGTCCAGGGACGTATGATCATAGAATCCGAAGTCGCCAGTGTGGATAATGTGGTCGGCTTGGGCTTGCTTTGCAAGTTCGTTGAGCGATCGCAAGTTTCCTGGGCGAGGTGTTAGCGAATGTCAACGATGTAGCCATGTCTATAATATACCTCGAACGTCCGCAATGCAAAGGATACGTATGGGCCCCGTCTGGATGATACGACCCTGGTTGGGCAGCAGAGGCGCCGCTCCAGGTGATGGAAGTCCGGTCGCACCATTCTGTATGTAGCCAGGGGCATATGCTCGAGGCTGCACTCGTTAGCCAAAGGTGAAGCAAGCCACAGAAGCAAAGCAAGCAAAGGGTCTCAGCAGACACGCCCAGATGGACGCGGTGATGAAGGCAGCCCTTTCAGCCCCTCAGTCGACGACGCCAACCCGTAGCATGGAGACTGTCGAACAAAGAGAGCGAAAAGGGAGAGGCAGAGGAAAAGATACGCAGAAGTGCCTCCTGGGATGTAAGAGGCCAGGGAGATCCCGAACTGGCAGCTCTCATATCTGCCACGGAGAGCAAGGGTTGAACGAGGCCAGAAAGAGAACAGTGTGCACTTACGACGGCCATTCTGTCAACCAGCTGAGTGCAACGGAATCGTAGGCTTGAGGTGTCGCCCGGTGGGATGTTTCCGTAGGAGAGAAGATGCTCTCGATGAAGGATATGACGGGGTATCAGATATAGAACCAGTCGGAGGACGGCGAGCCGCAGGTGTGAAGGTGAATTTGGCTGCTCTCGAGAGTTACTATTGCTCAGAGTTACTATTGCTCCATCAGGTTGGGCGGGTTTCCAGTGGGCTGCCTGCCGTGCTGATTGGCAGCCTTGCCAAGGAAATTGGGCTTGGGCTAGGCTGGCTAGAGGGGTAAGCTTCAGAAAGCCGTTAAGATGCTTAGATACATATACCTTACTCAATCTACAAGAAGCTTATATCCAAGGTAGCATCATGATAGTAGGTAGAATTCTATAGCACATTCCTGACTGATTATTTCCATACAGAAATATTGTACTGCTTTCGATTCTCCTCTTTCAGTAAGAGGACTTGCTTTGCAATTATCATGTTATATATCTGATAGCTGTCTACCTATCTAGAACGAGTGTTCTGTGCCTTGTGTTTACATGTATCTACTACCACTTATAGAGTGCAGCAGAGGCAAACGGGTATTTGCACTTACAGGTTTCAACTCATTTATACCTACCCTCTGAGCTTCTCTCGACGCAAACTCCTCCATCATGAGCTCCCATTCAGTCTTTCTAGCTACAGCATGAATCCTCTTCGAATGGGACCATGTTACTTCGATATTCAGTTTTCCCACGGACTCTTCCACTGATACGGCACTCCTGGGCTCCCACACTGCGTGCCACTTCTCTCAGTGTTGCTCCTTGGTTGACAACCATCAGGCTCGCTTCCTCTGGGAACCAGTGGAAACAACGCCAAGGTCACGATGCATATGTCCGCTATGCCAAGGTCAAGCAGCTCAAGAGTAGAGCAGCCTTCAAGCTGGTAGAGGCAAGACTGGCCCTGTCATACTTCTTCATACTCAGTAGGTATTAACACGGATCATTGAAAGATTGATACGAAGTACAAGCTCTTCAAGAGAGGCCAAACTGTAGTTGATCTGGTAAGTCCGCCCTGAGCCGTACGGAATCAGGTGGTGATATGGACCGCAAGTCTTTCGGACCTGACACTCTCCTACCAGGGATATGCTCCGGGCAGCTGGTCACAAGTATGTCGTATCATTGTATCCGCGGCTAGTTCCGTGCGTGATTCCGGCAACGATCAGGAGATTCACATGGCCATCTTGTAGGTAGCCGTCGATCGCACTCGACCGCATGGTCGTGTTATTGGTATCGACCTTATACCCGCCCATCCTCCTCAGGGTGTTGCAACGTTCCAAGGGGACTTCTTGTCTCCGATGGTTCAGGAACTTGTCAAAGACTTCATTGCCCAGAGCCACGGCGACCGACCTCTCCAAGCCAACCAGAGGGATGATGTGAATGATGATGAGGACCTGCCCTCCGAGCACACCGTTATCGATCAACCGAGCTACATTGATCGCGAGAGACAATCGGCGGAAAGCGCAAGTCCAAAATCCGGTATTTCGTCAGCAGATTCGGACTCAAGACATTCCGTGGATGTTCGTTTTACTAAGTCTTGTATTCGATGGCCATGACGGTTTTGCGCCTATGCTGACGCCAGTATAGGTCGTGTTAAGTGATATGTCAGAACCCTGGGACCAGGAATCTGGGTTCAGTTCAAGGAGTTTAAGTAACCCTTATGACAGGCTGATGAACACGAGCGGCAATCGGACGCGAGATCATCTCGGCAGCATGGTAAGGACAAATCCCGAAGCTTTGTACTGGTTGAGAAGGAAGAAAACAAGACAAGAAAGGTGACCATGGTGACTTTTTAGGACCTCTGCGAGGCTGCACTCCAATTTGCCAGCGACACGCTCAAACCTGGTGGCCATTTTGTCTGCAAATTCTACACAGGAGCGGAGGATAAAGAATTGGAGAAGAAACTCAAGCTTCTCTTCTCCAAAGTTTACAGGGAGAAACCGGATGCATCCAGAGCAGTAAGCTCCATCCGCCGTGTTTTGATAATCGTCATACTGACTGACGATTCCAGGAGAGCAAGGAGGCCTATTTCGTGGCTCTCTTTAAAAAGGCCAAGACTCCTATTGAAAGCACGGCTACAGATAGCCATGATCACTAGAATTAACGAGGAATCAATTACTACAATCACAGTACAGTGCTACGATGAGTTGGTCAAGCTGATCATCAATTTGGCCATGTCCAGGCACGAAATTTTGAGGTACGAATGATATCAAGTCACGCCATCCCATTTGGTCCCATACATAAAGCGAAAAATTGGAGATAAAACGTATCCCCATCCTGATGCTTGCCCATTTTTCCAACCAAGATTTAGACCTTGAAGCCACGAGAGCGTCTTCGGCCACGAGCACGCTCGAACTTGCGGCCCTTGGACTCGACGAAGGGTTTCTGTAAAAATAAAAGATTAGCATATAGTTAAACAGCCTAAAAAGCCCGAATTGGCTAACCTTGTGCTTGTGGGGGCCGAATCCGAAGTGCTTGACAGCCTCACGGCTGTTCTTGGGTCCACGGAGGATCAGGGTGTTGCTGCCAGTGGGAGCACGGAGAGCCAGCTGGTCGAGGGTGATGGCCTCACCACCGGCAGCCAGGATGCGGGCACGGGCAGTGGCAGTGAACCGAAGGGCGGCAACGGTCGTCTTGGGGAAGGTCAGGAGACGGTTGTCATCGGTGACGGTGCCGACAACGACGACGGTGCGCTTCTCGCCCTCCTTGTTGATGTTGGAGACAATGCGGGACAGAGAAACGGGGGGGCGGTTGATCTTGGACATGAACAGTCGTCGGAGGACCACCTTGTTGAAAGCGGCATCGGTTCGGCCTGTTGCCCATTCGTTAGTTTCCTGCAACGCGGCTCACTTTCACCAATCTTTTTGATTTCCAAAGGTCGCGGATTGAGACTTACGAGCCAGGAAGCGGTAAAGCTTGACCAAGAGCTTCAGGTAGACATTGTCGCTCTTGGGGGCCTTGCGGTGAGTGCCCTTGACGTGGTGGCGGTCGAGATCGATACCTGGAATTTTGGAAAAAACCGCTGTCAGCCAGATGGTTCATGCTCAAATATGGCCGCGCATCTTGCGAGCAAGATGGCGTCCAGATCGCAGCGAGATACACAAGGCATCATCACCACTCGCATACGACAGGCTCTGTCAGTTCTTTCACGTACCCATGGCGACGACTGGTGCTGAAAAGCTTGATGATGGGCTTGATTGTCAAAGTCGAAGATGGCCGTGAATACAGAGGTGAACTTTTCCCAAAAGTTTCAGGGCTTGAGACTCGAATCGAGGCTCTGATTGGTCGAGTGCGGCACTAGTGTCAGAGCGGTCAGTGAGGGCAATTAGGGTATGTGCGGATGACTAAGGCGGGCACCGTAACGAGCCAGCTAGTTTTTGCCAAGCTCCACCGTATCGATAGGCTAGCGACATGCGTTGCATGTGAATTGCGAGCTAGGCTTTTCTAAGGCAAGGACAGTCTGATTAGGTACGGAGAACATGCAATCACTTTGGACGCATCTCTGATATAGCAGATGATGCTTGCGCATGGCCTGGACTTGGTTTTGATTCCTACTAAGCTCCTGGTGTTACCTACATATCTGCAGTTTGGGCGCTCTGCGCCGACTTGCATCAATCTGCGCCGACGAATCTGTACCATGACACATGATGAACCCAGGATGCGGACATCGCAGAGGTAGGCAGCTATACTCCAGGCAATGCCTCCCCGGCTACCTACTGCTATACCTATCATGGGGCTCTTCGATATAGAAAGCTGCACTTTGGATACCGTTTCTCTGCTGCTTGAACCGTGCGTAAGGTATCGTATCTCGACTTCGATTCATTCCGACTCCTTCATTCACTACATGAAAGGTGGCAAGGAGAATGGGTAGCCGCCATTCTTGATGCGGAAGACGCTCAAGAGGAAGCTGTATACCAAGAAGAGGATCAGACTCCAGACGATCACTGCGACTTGCTGAGTCTTGGAGTCGGCCATGCGCGGAACTTTGACAGCCAAGGTGATGGCGCAGAACGAGAGCACACCGTCTATTATATACGCGTCAGTCTCTTGAACATGGTGGTATAAAAGGGAGTTCTCTTACAGATGGCGGCCACGATCTGAGTTTCTAGTCCGAGCTGGCTTTGGAACCCTCCTGCAATGTAGCTGACGCCTCCCTTGCCGTCTCCAACAATGTACGGCACCTTCCGGATATGATTGAACATGTGTCCGCTGGTGAAAAGGAGGATCGATATCAAGCTGATCGAGGCCCAAATGTTGCGGTTCTGAATAACTGGCAGTACATAGGAAGATGCGCTAATCACCGCCGTGCCGACGCCGAGAATGATGGTCACAGTAGAAGCCCATCGGATCCAGTTAATGGGTCGCTTCACTGGGGGATGCGGCCTGTTGGGCAGTTGCCGGGAGAGCCAGGTATGGACTTGTTCAGCAGCTGGAGGCCTGGAATTTGGTTAGCATTGATGGCAATGCGTGGTGCTCAAGGGCTCGACATGGTTTCTCACCCTGTCGTAAAGTCGTATCGAACGGGCTCTGGAGAGCCAACGGCATGGGGTCCAACGGTTGGATGAAAGAGGAGGAGCACCGGGGCTGTTTGCAGGCCAAGCTGTGATGCGAATTGGTGCATTAGCATTGAGACTTTCAGAGCTCATCAGTCGTAGCTTTACTACACACCGAAATGAAGATTTCCCGGCCGTCGGCGAAGTCCAAGGTGCCAAAGAGCAGTCGAGATTCGCCGGTCTTGTCGCCGCGAAGCCAGCTGCGTCCGAGAAGGTCCCATTCGGGCTGGAACTCCTGACAAAGCTGGCAGCCGAATCTGGCCTCCAGGGCAGTGAGAAGAACAGCCACGCTATGATTCCTTGGGGCAGCCGTCAAAGAGGTGTAGGTGGCATCATTAAGCTTCAGCGGCGTTGAACGCTGAGCCAGCCGGTAGAAGTCCTCATAGCTGTCCGCCGGCGCCTTCTTTGCGAAGCTTCCGCCAAACAGCAGAAGCAGTGGCGCAATTGACGACAAGAAGCGCATCGTTGTGGTTGATTCGCAGCTGTTGTATCAGAACGTACAGCCGCTCGCTGCTGGTGTTGCTGCCAACTACGCAAGCTGCCAAGTGTTCCTGTGCTGTCATCAACGCTGGCCCGTTTGTAGCTTATGTAATCCGAGCTAGTCTTCCAACGACATTCGGCGCGGTGCGCTTGACCATATACGGCTAGCTTCAATACCTCGCCTTCGTGCTCTCTACTTGAAGGATACTTCAGCTGACGATGAGCTTCTCACGGCTGCTAAAAGTAAAGCAGAGGTCTTCTGTACTCTGGAGAAGCTCCAGTTGGGTGTCCAGCTGCTCCGATACTTCATGGCGATTGAACAGCTGCTGGTGTTAGTACTGCGTTGTACCTCAAACCACTGAGAACCTGCATGTTTTCTTTGCGCAGGTTCACATGGGCGAATCAACAGGTCGGACGCGACAGCATAAAGAAAGGAGCGTTCTCTTCATCCATCAGAATTACTCTGCAATTTTAATCCTGTCATCACCACTCTTTCTCGCCCAAGTCTATCTCGTCCGCGCAATTGAATGAAGACCGGCCATGAGTGCCAACTCGATTGAGGTAAGTACTTACCCATGCCATCAACTGTTGCCCGCTCCTTGACAGTGCGCTTATGTCGATTTTCAGCGCACGACGCGTCTCCACGAGCTCGACCTGCAGCATCAACAAAACCGCCACAAAACCGATCTCATCAGCCGAGATGAAGCTGCTCGCCGTCTGGAGCTCCGGTTGTTGCTCCTCCAAGATGAAAAGACTCAGCTACAGGAGGAATGTGCCGCGAAGGATGCGGAGATAAAAGCTCTGGCCCAAGATGGCGACCAATTGCGCGTCGAACTGGATAGAGTCAAGGCTAGGGATCCCGCCAAAGATGCGCAGGTGAACGGCACTACCTCCAAGACCACGGCTTCGGCTGTATGTCATACCCAGAGCCCCTTCCCTCCCCATCTACTTACTAATGAGACCAAGACGGAGGTCAAGTCATCAGAAACCTACATGCAAGATCTGAGCAAGGCCTTGGATGAGAATCTCGCCCTTACGAAGGAACTCGAGCAATTGCGACCAGAGATTGAGCTGCTACGGGAACAAGTGACGAAATACGAGAAGATGATAGCCGAACAACGCGAGTCGCAGCCTCAACAGGAGCAATCGGAAAAGGAGGTTGCGAGCAAAGGGCAGTCGAAGCCCAAAGGGCCGGACGAGATAGGCGAAGATATCGTCGAGCTTCGAGCAGCGTTGAAAAAGGCTACAGAAGAACTGAACGAGGAGAAGAAACACCGAAAAAGCATGGAGTCAGATCATCTTGAGGAAATGGAGAAATCGGAACGTCAGAAACACAGGCTGGAAGGAAAGATATCGACCTTGGAGAAGAAGCTGAAAGAATCTCAGAAGGAGCTTCAAGATCTGCGGAAAGATATCGAGGCGTCTCGGTCAAGCGTCAAAGAAGATGGTCCGGATGACGGGACAACCATTCACACTCAAGGAGCGACAGCCGAACAGCCTCCGGCGGCTGAGAAGGAAAGACTGACTCGCAGGCACGCGTCGAGGAAGCGTGTATTAGAACAAGCTAAGATGGGAGAAAAGTCTACTTTCTCAATCACTCCGTTGCTCAACAAAACAGCAGATGGCATCTTGGACGCTGTGAAGGAGGGTAATGCCCTTACACTGCCGCTAGACGATGTACTTGCGCAAGACGAAAACGATCCATCACCACGGAGGATGGCAAACAAATCTGAAGCCCTGCCTACAGCAACACTGGATGTCGGAGAAGAAACTACAACCCCTTTGAGGCCTCGAGAGAAACTGAATCCGAAAGCGAAGAAGAAAGCAGTAGCCGCGGACGGAGACAAGGTTCAAGTGAACTCTGAAGACAAGAAAGATGAGGCAGCACCGAATGCAACTCGCTCAAAGGAGACGGCTCCGTCCAAGAGGATCAAGCTGCATGAGCCTGCCATAGCCGAACCCCCTCCTCCTCCTGAGGGCGAGCAGAGGAAGAGGAGGAGGAAACTCTTGAACAAGACTAACACCATTCTAGAGGAAGACGAGACTGAAGAAGGAGCCCAATCTATGGAAGCCCAACCTGGTCGGGCTAGAAAGCTGAAATCTTCAGGGACAACCGCTTTCAGCTCGCAAAGTCTGGTCAAACCTTTCTCGCCCTTGAAACGACATCGGCGGGGAGTCAACGCGAGTTTCCTAGTTTGACCAGGCATCCAAACACATCAAGTGCTTGGTACGTCTGCTTCGCATCATCCACAGCAAGAGCTGTGCAACCAAGGCGTTTACTCGGGCATTCTCAATAGACATTCGGCAGCGTGGGATTGTGATTCTTGTGTGTAATTACTTCAATGTCTGCCTATAGTAGGTCTCGAGGTCAAAGGGATATAGAGCATTAGGTGGTATGAAATGCAATGCCTGCTTGGTGCCCGCTGCTCACTAGGTCTGAACTACTACACCACCTATCAACAGATAAGTATTGCAGGTAAGATGGCAATAACCTCTGGTAGTTGTATCATACGTGGGTAGGCAAAGGTAAGTCATCGTCAGCGAGAAGATTGCATTGACGAGGAGGCATCACGCTGCACCCGGAAAGTTCATTGTTTATGCATGTTCGTTTCTCGTTGCCTTTGAAGGGTCTCATGATGGAATGTCCCGTAAACAGAATCATATATTACCACCGATAATATCCAATACACTATTGCTCCGAAAAAAGTTGCCTCTCCTCTTATACGACTTGAAGTTCCCGCTCTTCTTTTAGGTACATGCAGCCCACCCAATTGTACTGCTAGGCTCGGGTCATCAAAGTCGTCTGCCAGATAACGGGTCGATTGCCAAGATTTCCACCCTTAGTCAGCCACGCTGGCCAATCGCATCGCTCGGCCCTAATTTTTGCGCCCACACAAAAAATTCACAATTTCAACCAGCCCCAACCTCGAAGCTTTACATCCGGTGCTGACCTTTTGCAGAAGAGAAGTGGTCTTCACAGCTAATTTTCTCTCTTCTCACCCATCTCGAAACTCTTTGCGCAGAGGCGAGGCTGTACCACAATGGCTGAACAACTGATCCTCAAAGGTACCCTCGAGGGCCACGTACGACTTCTCCTCCCCCCGTCGCTGCCTCTTGTGGTCGAGATTCGAGAGTTGGGACTGACATTTTGATACAGAATGGCTGGGTCACCAGCTTGGCCACCTCAATGGAGAAGTACGACGGCCTCTGGCTCCTCACGAATGCCCTCGAACCCGTTGAACTAACAGCGAAACAGCCCCAACATGCTCCTGTCCGGTAGCCGAGACAAGACCCTGATCATCTGGAACCTCACCCGCGACGAGACCCAGTACGGCTACCCCAAGCGATCCCTCAAGGGCCACTCCCACATTGTGTCCGACTGCGTACGTTGCCATCTACATGCCGCTGGGGTTGCGAAACGGGGTCCCGTAGGCTGACAGCAGTTGATTTGCACAGGTCATCTCCTCCGACGGCGCCTACGCTCTGTCTGCCTCCTGGGACAAGACTCTCCGTCTGTGGGAGCTCGCCACTGGCACCACCACCCGAAGATTCGTCGGCCACACCAACGATGTTCTCTCCGTCTCCTTCTCCGCCGACAACCGACAGATCGTCTCCGGCTCTCGTGACCGAACCATCAAGCTGTGGAACACCCTCGGTGACTGCAAGTACACCATCACCGACAAGGGCCACACTGAGTGGGTTTCCTGCGTCCGATTCAGCCCCAACCCCCAGAACCCCGTCATTGTCTCCAGCGGCTGGGACAAGCTGGTCAAGGTACGTTTCTTGTTTTCGCCCTGTGCCCTGATTACGATTCGATACCATCTTATGATGTACTGCAATTTCTCAAGTATTTGCTACTTCAGAGCCAGCAATGGCAATGAGACAAACATAAAACCATTTGCCCTGATCCCGGTTTTCTTCCTTTCTTCTTTCTTTCTCTCTTCTCTTCTCTCGTCCTCGAGCGAAAGGGGAGGAGAGACGAAATAGAAGAGAAGGAGAAAAAAGCCCTCCTCATACCACAACCCGCCAATGACGTGTAAAGGCCTGTTTCTAACAACGCCATAGGTTTGGGAGCTCTCCACCTGCAAGCTGCAGACCGACCACATCGGCCACACCGGCTACATCAACACCGTCACCATCTCCCCCGATGGCTCTCTCTGCGCCTCCGGTGGCAAGGACGGCACCACCATGCTCTGGGACCTGAACGAATCCAAGCACCTGTACTCTCTCAACGCCAACGACGAGATCCACGCCCTCGTCTTCTCTCCCAACCGATACTGGCTCTGCGCTGCCACCGCCAGCAGCATCATCATCTTCGATCTTGAGAAGAAGAGCAAGGTTGACGAGCTGAAGCCCGAGTTCACCTCCGTCGGCAAGAAGAGCCGGGAGCCCGAGTGTGTCAGCTTGGCCTGGTCCGCCGATGGCCAGACCCTGTTCGCCGGTTACACTGACAACATCATCCGCGCCTGGGGTGTCATGTCGCGAGCATAAATTTGTTGCATGTTAGGTCGGGAGATGGGAGGGGGAGGCATGGCTTGGGACGGGGTAAGGATAACAGGGCGTCACATTAGTTAGCCTCTTGCTCGAGTTGTAACTTTGAGATAGGGGGCAACTGTGCTTGTGAACGTAGCCTGGCAGAGGGTTAAGAATTGCTGGCTACAGAAATACTACTGAAAAAAGGGTACTGGACACAATTCACTTCTAATGGAGAAGACGGTTCTTTGCTCCTGTTTCTACCAAGCACAAAGGAAAAGGGAAAATCAGAATTTCATACTGTTCAAATGCCGCTGTGCCATATTATCGAGAAGTGAAGGCGTCTTTTGAGACGTCCTCTCCATGTACAGCGCGTCACCAGCCTTCCATGACTTGATGAGAAACATGAGCTAAAGTGCTTAAGCACTGCGGGTATCATATAATGAATTGGCCAGCAGAAGAGCCAGTACAAAAGCTTCTTTTTGCGCCTTGTCAATCCCCCCCATTTGGGCTCCGTAAATGCCAGGTCTTACTATGAAGCGCTAGACTTCTTTCCCAGGCGAGATACTTCTCTCCGAGCAAATCTGGCGTCGGCATTGACAATCATGCTGTGGTCCGCAATGTCCACCTTGTCGGCGTGCTCTCGGAAACGGTCTCCGCCCATGAACCGCTTCATGGTCGACTCCCACAGCCTGAAGCGCTCCTTGCCATGGCTGTCACGTTCGACCAGCGACTTGACCTCCTTTTGCTTGCGCATCTTGGAAGCGCGCACCAGTCTCCGCAACGCATCCTCGCCCAGCTGCGCGCTCTTGGCCGCGTCCTCTCGAATCTGCTTGGCCTCTCGAGTCCTCCTATCGTCTTGCGGCGTGAACTTGTAGGTGTGTGTGCTCGGAAAGCCGGGGAAGGAGGCCGGTATATATGGCTTGCTCTCCTTGTCCGGCTGGCCACTGAGCTCTGGACCGAGAAGGGGGAGGGAGGTGAAGGTGTCGTCGGCGGTTGTAGCCTCAAGGCTGCGGTCTGTCGCGTCTTGCTGGTAGAGCCGGCTCTTGACGTGCGGTTTGAGGGACGATATTGAGATATTGTGGTATCTTAACATTGTTTCATAATCTGTCGGTATCGGATGCTCGCGACGGGATGATATTGCGAGCCGCTTGACTTCTCCCATGATGGAGCTCATATCTAATGGGATCGAAGGAAATTAGCCGAGGAGAAACCATTTCGCAATAGGACGAGAGGGACGTACACTCCTCGACCAGCCCTGTAAAGCTCTCGAGCGCCTCTGGAGTTGCGGATTGAAATCCATCATGCGCCAACACCAAGGCGATAGACCGCTGAATACCGGAGCGGGCAAAATGATGGACTGTCGGGGTGAGAGAAGGCACCGCTTCGTCTGTCCAATCTGGGACGCCGCCTTCTTCTGTCCGAGCTTGGGTCGTGCCGGGTCTCTGTTCGCCTGAGACTTGGCCTTCTCGCGACGCAAATCTAGGTCTCTTCGAATCTGAGTTCAAGGTGTCGACGGACACACTGCGCTTGAGCGACATCGCGTCCAACACGTCGGCTTCTTATCACCGGCAGAAGGCGGGGACTCGAGGAGCCGGGTGCGACGCAGGGAGGTGCGGAGGAGCGTAAGTGATCTGGGCGCGTAGAGGAGAGGGATGAGGAGAGGTTGAACCCGTTCGCGCACTGGCTCAGATGGCGATATAGTAGCTGGAGCTGTACGAAGTGCTTGGATGAGGTGGTTGCAGGTTTGTTCCCGTAGGCGTATTGCCGTAGCATGCAGAAACACGGTACCTTGCCTCAAGGTAGCACGCAGTTCAACTGCTATCGATAAGGCTCGAAAATGGGTATTTGTCGTTGGAGCTTCAATTTGAAAAGCCGATTGTAGAAGACGCTGGTACGAAGCGGTAAAGAATGCTAATACGTGGTTCGATTAGGCCTGGGTATGGTGCAGAGGCCTAGATCCAATTGGCAGATACTAGTTTTATCGTGACAATGCTCATTTACTATGACCACTTGTTGAGACTGAACCCATTGTTCCGCGAGCAAATGCTGCTTTGGGTCCAGTGCCTCAAGCCTATTAGACCCGAGGATCGTGATTGAACGGGTGCGGCTTCGTTGCCTACCACCACTTGATTGGCTGCCACTCAGCATTACCTACTGAATTACATAGAGCAATAATATCATTTTTCCTCTGCTGTAATTGGCGAGGACTTCCTGATACATTTCTTTGTGGTTCTGCTCAAGATCGAATTGGACGAGACTACCCATAAGCAAAAGGCAAAAGAATCAAGCGCCGACGATAACCCGAAGTCAAGGCACCACAAGCGCCGACAGCAGAATAGCCCGACTTTGTGATTCCTCCTTTCGCCTTGATTGTTTGCTCCAGCTCAGACTTTTTTACTTTCCACGCACGCGAGGGCTTGGGAAAGGGCCGTTTCTGCCGCTTTTGTCGTTTCTTGATTCTCCGCCTCTTGCTGCGCCGTTCCAATTGCGCTGGCGCCCGCCATCTTTACACAGCCGAGAGAAGAAGCGACCCCCCGAACGACGCCTTCTGCGATCAAATCGTCATCCTGCCTCCTCAATGCATTGCCATTAGAAGCCGCCGCAGTTCCGACGCTTGACCTCTCGAGCATGCTCCCTGCTTCTTCGATCCCCGAGTCGCTCATTTACCCTCCTCGCCGGCATCGATTGCATACCCTGGAAGGATAGCTTGACACGGCCCCCGACAACGAGTGGTCATCGACCAATGCTTTCTGTCACTTTCGCAGTTCACCATCAGCCTCCTTACCTTAAGAGTTGAGAGCTACTTAGAATAGAGATCGAATCGCCATACAAAACTCGGCTGAGTCACCCGCCATCATGTCAACCGTACGCAGTTCCCTCTCTGCGACCGACCGCCGCCGCAACACTGGGCCTTCGCCTGCTAATTGAGTCTTGTAGACAATACCAGACGCGCTGAAGCCGTCTCCCAGCAGCAATTGGACTCTCCAGTTTCGGGAAACGATCTCTCAGCCAGTGGTCGCGGCCTTCTGCGGTGGAGGAGTAGCTGGCGCCGTCTCCCGAACAGTGGTGTCTCCGCTGGAGAGACTCAAGATTCTGATGCAGATCCAAAGCGCTGGGCGAGACGCCTACAAAATGTCCGTCGGCCATGCCCTCGCCAAAATGTGGAAGGAAGAAGGCTGGAGGGGCTTCATGCGAGGAAACGGAACAAACTGCATCCGCATTGTTCCCTATTCTGCTGTCCAATTCAGCAGCTATAACTTTTACAAGAGGGTATGTCGTTCCCCTGGGCGGGAGCTATGGCGGCAATCCAATGGCACCCCTTGTACAGCCGGGCTAACTGCATGGCCAGAACATCTTTGAGCCATATCTAGGAACCGACCTGTCGCCCTGGTCCCGCCTCGCGTGCGGTGGGCTTGCGGGAATCACATCCGTCGTCTTTACCTACCCTCTCGACATTGTCCGAACACGTCTGTCTATCCAATCAGCGAGTTTTGCAGAGCTCGGCGCACGGCCAGAGAAGCTGCCAGGAATGTGGGCAACTCTCGTCTCAATGTACAGGACAGAAGGTGGTTGGTCGGCTTTGTACCGTGGCATCGTCCCAACTGTAGCCGGTGTGGCTCCCTATGTATGTCTCAACGCAATCTCACTTTCCCGGCGTCGCCATGGACGTAGGAGCACGCTGACCGACTGGTTGCTAGGTTGGACTCAACTTTATGGTGTATGAATCAATCCGCCAGGCATTCACGCCCGAAGGCGACAAGAACCCTAGTGCTGTTCGCAAGCTGCTGGCGGGCGCCATTTCAGGCGCAGTTGCTCAGACCTGCACTTATCCATTGTAAGTACAGCATCGGCCCCCCTTTGTTGTCTTCTCTCTCAGGACCCCCCTTACTCTCTTCATGACAAGCTGTGTGCCTTGTGTCAGAGCTAACTCGGCATTGTCTGCAAAGTGACGTACTGCGACGACGATTCCAGATCAACACCATGTCAGGCATGGGTTACCAGTACAAGTCTATATCGGACGCAGTCCGTGTCATTGTCCTCCAAGAAGGCGTCAGAGGGCTATACAAGGGCATCGTCCCCAATCTCCTCAAGGTGGCTCCCAGCATGGCATCGAGCTGGCTGAGCTTTGAAGTCACGCGTGATTTCCTGACAGAGTTGAAACCGACCGAGGAGAGTCGAAGCTTATAATGAGAAGGGTATACTATCGGATTTAGATGATGCCGGCTATTGTTCTTGTCCATGGTCTGTCTCTCTCCGTCTTCTTCGTCTATGCTTCTTACCCTCTTCATTTACTTTCTGCTTTGTATGATTTTAATTTCTGCCTTGTTTGTAGCATGTAAAAGGTCTTGTAAATAAGTACGAAGCAAAATGGGTATATATAGAAGGAGCAAAAACAGGTCGTATAGATAGCCTCAATATTCAAAGCTCACGCTACCTTGGAATACACACCCTTTCGGCGAGCCATGTATGAGTAAGGTATCCATGATGGCCATGGCCGTCTTTCTAGAAGAAACAGTGAGGATACACTCGTGATGCCCCGAATTAGTATACTATGGAGTACTTGTAGTAACTCAACGGCACGCGTCTTCGAGTGGGTCTAGAAGCTTAAGGTGCGAAATAAGGTACCTGACAGCCCTGGATGGGCAAAGTCCACAAGACACTGTCCCTTGCACGTCGAACCGTGACGCGGCGGGTACTGAGACCTACTATCAAGTAGCTTAGGTACTTCTCAAAGCAATACCTCTAAGGTACTTTACGCCTTGCCTGCTTCCCCTAACACAGTGACGATGCTATAGCCATCGTTCCCATTGTTTTCGTCTTTTTCATGCTCTTTCGACCGATTTTTCTCTTCCCTGGGCTGCCCTGTTCCCAAAATTTACCATTTCTCCCCTTCATCTCATACCTAGGAAACAGTTGGCCTTCTCAGCTAATGGCACCATAGCCGGAAACGCTCGTTTGCACGCCGCGCTGCTCTGCTCAACCACGCCTCTCTCTTCCTCTGTCATATTCGATGACCGGCCAACTTGTGCAAGGCAGCGGATAGCCGACTCTGTCTATCGCCTGGATACGCTAATGGGAAGCACATGTCTCTTGACGTTCATGGTCTTTTGTCTCACCTGATCCTCTCTTCGTCTTCTTCCCTGGCTGCTCTTCGTTGCCTGTGAATGGGCGAGGCTCACGCTTGATGTTCTTGGCCATCATAGATGCCCTCGAAACGAGAATCAAGCGATGCTGCTCGGCAAGGCCGAACCTACCGCTCGACTGCCCCTGCCAAGCAGGTCCGGTTCCCCTCCAGGCGCAGCAGGGTTCGCGGCCAGGGCCATGGAATCCAAAAGCGAGAGAGGTCGTCGCTCAAGCAGCAGACCCTGACACAGATTGGCTTTGTCTCGTCGTTTAGTGACGAGGCTCCGCTTATGATTGACGACGATGACGAGGATACGTCCGACGGTGCGGCCTGTGACGATGACGGCAAGCCGGCTGCCCCTCAGAGAAGCTCCGAAGCCGAGTTGGAGGAGCAGCCTCGAGAACCGACCAGACGGTCTGTGAGAGGTCCCATGAGAGGGTCTGTGAGAGGGACATCGCCCGTCATTCAAGACTCTTATGGGTCTCTAGACAGCAGCTTTCCCGACGATGTATTGGGAGAAGCTCCACCACCACAGTCTCTACCCATACAAGGACGGTATGCTGCAGTGTCTCCCCGCCGCAGGGGGAAAACGGAACCTTTAGACGCAGCCAAAGCGTCGCCGCGGCGTCGTGCTCACTGGAGTCGATATCCAGAGGGCCCAAAGGCGCCGGAGCTGTCCCCTCTGGCAAACGACACGTCGCCGTTGGTCAGGTTCGCCGACGACAGGGAGATTCCAGACTCTGACGAAGAGTATGACGATCTAGAGCCGCGGGACGATGGGCCAGCGCTACACCAAGATACGTTTGCGACGGGCCACGAAACTCAGCTTGTCCTAGAGGAACTTGCTGCTCTCGAGGATTCCCAGCTAGATGTACAGCACGCGGCAAACGAGCAGCTACCAACATCACCACCACCCCCATCGGCACTCGCTTCGTCCGTGGATGCCGCCATCAGCAAGCTGGCTCTACCGCCCATAGAGGCCACTGAGAGTCTACCAACACCAGCGGAAACCGCGTCACAGCTCTCATCGACCCCGTCATTCCCAAGGACCACATCCCAGTCCCACGTTCAGGCTGAGTCTAGCCAAAGCCAAGTGTGGCAAGACCAGGCCTTTGAATCTCAACGCGTGCCGCTTCACGTCCTTCAGTCATTCACTCCAGTCTCTGCGCGCACGGATATACTCCTGCCCACGCCACTCAATGTACTCCAGTCCGTCGTTGACGGCTCCGAGACAACCCTCCGTCTGACCTATCGGGTGCCTGAACAGGTCCGGCGCTTCTGGCTATTCGACCACGAAACTCTGCGCTACATGGCCTGCGTGCAGCCTGGCACGCCCCGTGGCTTTCTTGACTGGGAATACAGCGTCGACCAGGTGTATGAGCTCAATAACCCAGTCGACGAGCGTGATATGCAGGAAGAGGGATGGGTGACTGGACAGGTCCGGCGATATATCTATCTCCCCCCGGCTATAGTGGGACGGCTTCTATGGAATCTCAGATGCGCAACTTTTGCCCGTGGTGGATTACAAGGAGGTGGAGATGGCGACCATGGAATTGGAGACGGAGGTCGCAGCAACAATACGGAAACCCAAGACAGCCGTTCGCCCAAATCTCTTGATAGAAATTACGGCGTTCGTATCCCCGTCACCTTCTCGCAGCCGGCGACTCATCCCGAAAACCGCACCAGTTCTCATCACCCCGACCCGCCAAGCAGCTTCTTGTTTGAAGACCACGGCAGCTCTACCACCACCATCCCAGCCAACGATGTCGCCGCCCTGGGTTCATCCCCCCTCTTGACCAAGAGTCAAATGCTTTCTGACAGTCTGGTCAGCGATGATGTGCCATAGTTCCTGGAGAGTCTCAGGACTTGATGGATAGGAAGACGACGTGCCCGTCAGGCAGTCCTGCCCATATCATCTAGATTTTGTTTACTCCCATCCCCTTTTCCCCAATTCGCCCAAGCATCCCCTTACCATAAGAGGAAGGGAGAACAGAACAAATACAGCACCCCTTGTGACGGGAGACTCGGTCGTATTCTTTCACTCTATATGATTCTGTGCAGATTCTGTAGCTTTACTTTACTGTGCATGGCTTCCGTGATCCCATCATCCCAAGTCAAATCTGCATTCATCGGTGCCGCCTTCAGTTCGCTGTACTTCAAGGCTGACCTACAGAGAGTTGCTGCATATCACGCCATGGTTCCGGGTCAAATAGAATCAACCATATCGGCAGCTCTTTAGAAAGTCCCCTGAAGTGGGAACGAGCATGTTCGCTATAACAGAAATGCACATATCACACTATTTACACGGAGAACTTTTCACTTGTGTCCTCGCGTAGGTCGTCTCTCTTCCTTCTAAACTTGATCTCAACGCCTTTCATTTGGAATTCTATACATCAGTAATGATAAGAGTTGTGCGTTCCACACCTACTACTAGTATGTAATTAAGCTCCCTAATACAAATCCACTGCATCAGGCCTTTCAGGCCTTGTCAGGCTCCCGCCTTCGGACACTGTCACCAGCTCACGACAGGTGAAAGGCTCCCTGCCCTTCCCTGATCGCAGTATACAGCTGCTTTTTAAGGACTTCCAGGGTACTATAATCCGGAAGCTTCAGATAGTTCACGCACGTCATGACGCTCGGAAGGTAGGCGTCGGAGGTGTACGGAGGCTCGCTAGGTTTGCAAACAACGGTAAACATCGGAGTGAGACTTTTGAAGCCTAGTAGACGGTCAGCTTATGTTCAATAGATCGGGATGCTAGGATGTACTTGCCGCCAATGGGAAGCTTTGGGCTACCCGTGGTAAACTGTAAGAAGTCCCGTCGTTGTTTGGCGTCCAGTTCGCTCATGGTTTGCAGCAAGTTCTTCACACTTCGGCTGTCCATGTTGTAGCCGTGGTCAGCCTTAATCGAATCCATGAGAGCTAGAGCGATTTCAGGTCAGCGACTACCATTCAGGGATATCAAGCATCGACAGATACTCACTCTCAAGACTCCAGTCCTCTTCTACTCGGCCAAACAAGGAAACTAGCTCGTCTGGCGTGAAAGCTCTCAGTGCCGTGTAAGGGAAAACCTGTGAAAAACCGGTGCGGAACGCATCAATTTGACGCTTGACGCCACTTCCCAGGGTCATGTCGATGACCTTTTCCAGATAAATGTCAACGTTCTCGATGGTCACTCGCTTCATAGAGCCATTCTCCAGGAGCTCGATGTCGGGATAGCCCGGCAAGGTGAAATCGAGACAGAGGTCCTCCAGCCTCATATTGTCAATCATGATGTTTTCAGTATCGGCCACCTTTTGTGCTGGCGTGCGGGCTGGATCCTCGTCAATTTTCTTCTTGGCCAGCACAAACTTCTTGATTGTGATTAGAGACCGGGCAAGAACGGGGTCAACAATCTTGACTGCTCCCAAGGATGGCTTGACGCCAGTTAAAGAACCATCTCCAATCCGGAAAAAGATGGGATTGAAGTGGATGTCGATGATGCGCGAGTCAATCATTGACCGAGCTACAAACTTGCCAAGTGCTTTGAACAGGTGAAGAATGCGCTCTCCATTCGGCGTCGTCGTCTCCTCGGGGCTGAGGGGGCGGGGGAATAGCCCCGTCTGTCCCGTCACAAATTCGTCCGACCCAGCAGAGTCGACTTCACGCCAAAGCTTGAGCTTCTTCTTAGAAAATTCCTTCGAAACTGTAGAGTAGAATTCGAGCGTCGGGCCCAAGCCGGTGCCAACCTCTTCAAAGTACTCCACCTCCAGTATACTTTGAGACGCGCCATAGAGGTCCATCACTTTGAGGGCCGACTCCAGGATCTTGAGTCGGGAAATACGAACTTTTTGCCGTTGGAGCCGTCCCAAGAAGGGCCGTTCATTTGAGCGATCACGTCGATTGTCGTCCGTCGAATGCGCATTCTGCCAGCGAGCCATCGATCGAGCATATCCAAACGACGTCGACTGTAGAAAGAGGTGACGGGTCTCAAAGGGGAATAAGAAGGGGTAAAGGCGTGCCAAGTCTTCGGACCAGCTTGGCAAGCAACTGCTTGCCACAATCAGCGGCTCCTCCAGTTGGCGGTTGAGCTTTGCCGTGAGTTTTGTGTTCACAAACTGTGACAACGGCTCGACCCGCAGGCCAACGATGCTATTTCTGTTCTCAACCAAGACATCTTCGATGTTCGCATTGAGATCGTGAAGGATGTTGAGAAGCTGCAAGATGGATGCAGTGACTGGATGCTTCGCTAGAGAAGCCGAGATCCCCTTTCCTACTTCTGCATCAGGTTCGACATTCAAATTCGTTGGCTTGGTCTCTGCAGGAGGCGGCCCAGCGACCCTTCGGAACTTGATGGGATGCGTGGACGACCATATGTTTTTATTGCTATGGTCGTTGCCAGAAGACGTCGACATGTGAACAGCGCGGTAAATGGTCGTCTCGTTCGGGATAACCTTGTCATCTAGAGTGAACTCAATGTGCCAATCTTGAGGAATAGTCTGAAGTATAGAGGAGTAAGAGGGCTGTCGCGATGAAGGGGGAGGTGCTGCGGCAGCATTGCCTCTATACAGTACTCGATCATGGCTGTGTAGAAGATTGGCCCCGGCAGGGTTCGCGACTCTGGTCTCGCCGTCTCTTCGGCTCGCAGGAGAATTCTCGGCGGCGACTTCCAGGTTGACAGCGGACGTATCCGCCTCTGCTTTACCCCCTATGTCTTCGTCGAGCTCTCCGACAATTGCATCCAAGGCGCTGCTATCGCCAGTAGCGTCGTCTTCATCATCGGTGAGCTGTTTCTCGTCGGCACATTCAAGAGTGTGCTGCAGTGCGCTGTCATCATCAGGAGGGCGAGTCGGGGGGGTTGGTGCGTCTGACGGTGACCTAAAGAGCCTGGAGGAGCGTCGGAGGGATCCCTTCTCATGAGAGGGCCCAGCAAGCGGTGACGGTTTGTCGTTGACACCCACGGGATATCGAGCGCCGGAAGTCGCAGCTGTTGGCGGCGACGGCGATTGTTGCGTAGAACCAGGCATAAAGGAAGACCCAGTTGAGCCGGCGCCTGCTGCAGCGTTTTGAGACAAGCCCGAGCTAGCTATGGCCGCAAGAGTCCTGGAAAGCCCGTCCCTCCGAGATATCCTTGGTCGTTCTGCCAAGCTGATTCGAGGGCGCAGGTAGTCATCAAGAGACTTGAAGGTGGCAATTGCGTGAATGGAAACCATGATATTTCGATAGGGTCGCGGGATGGATGATTCGTCGTCCGCTACGAGCCGAAGTTTGAGCTGCTTGCCCAGCATGGACGCTGGGCTGCTGCGATTTCCGTCAAAGCTATTTTGATGAACGGTAATGACCTCGAAATGCTCTGACCTACTGAGCAGATCTTGTAACTTGTGAATCAAGACGCTAAACGGCGTCGCTTGGGACTCGATAGCGCCTGCTCGGGGTCTCGACTTCATTGCAGGACTCATAAACACCTCCAGAAAGCTTGCTTGGGCAGAATGCGCCAGCGCTTCATCGGGATTGCTGAAGACTGCGAGCAGGACTCTCACCAGGCCAGAAGCCAGAAGCTCTGCACTGGTGATGCTTTCCAGGATGTCGATATCAAAGTAAGACGCCAGCTTGGAGAAGAGCATCCGCCCCGTTTCCGGAGAGTAGAATTTGGATGTGCGTGTCAAATAGAAGGCCTCGAGCTCCTCTGCCAGGTGGGATAAAGTGTCGAGTATCTGCGTGGCCCTCATTCGCATGTCCTGGCTGTGACCGTCCTTCTCGTGGACATCCAAGAATCTTTTGGCGATGGTAACAATGCGAGACTTCATCAGTTGGATATTGGAAACATAGGGAAGAGACGCGGCATCCAGGGACATCGATGAGCCACGGGAGCTGGCAGACGATGCGTCACTAGCATTGAGCTCATTATCGACGTCTTCATCGTCACCACCGCCAGGAGAATGGTGCTCATGAGCGGCAGTGGCATCGGCTTCATCCTCGATCTCTTCCTCGTCATTCTCATGGTCGTCAGATTCGTGTCCTGATGATGGCGTGCTGCTACCACCAGTATCATGCAAGCTCGGTCTTTGAGACGCATTCTTCGGCTTGGAAAGATTCTCCTTTGCGGTAGGCTGGCCATCGCCCTTGGCAAGTTTTTGGATTTCAAGTATCACACCTTCGCGATAGAGCTGATACCGATAAACGCTACCGAGGCGTGTCAGGAGCAACTCCGTCGCTTGAAGGCCTAAAATGACCAAGGAAGGATGGTCCTCTTGCGACAAAATCGACGCCAGAAAGGAGGCATAGGGCACTGGCGCCAGTGCTTCCGCGAGCAGACTCTCGTCCAGATTGGAGAGCATCTTTATCTGGGCGGTCAAGACTTTCTGACGGACGTTGAGGTTGATTGTGCTGGAGTAGGCGTCCGTCAAAGTTGGAAATATGATGAGGACGAAGCGGCGGACTTGGTCCTTGCAGTCCTCGAGAAGTTCAAGTCGACGGTCGTTGTGAGTTGGGTTGCATCTGCCACCCAAAGAAGACGGCGTAGTCGGCTCAATCGCATCATGCAATTCCATAAAGTCCCCCCCTGCGACTCCCGCATTGCGAGGTAAGCCAGGCAGTAGCTCGCATATAACGTTGAGGGCTTCCACAATCTGCTCGCGAGGTCGATGAATGAGTGCCTGCATCACAACCACGCTGTCCAGTTTGGACGCCACGTCTTCCGTGCCCGTCGGAGGAGAGACGCCCGTCAAGATTTGGTAGAGCGTCTCGACGACGTTCAATTTGAAAAGCTCAGAGGAAAGTCTGGGGCTCGCCCTAGCGGTAAATGCAAGCACACGGAGAAACTGAGTGTGTATGTTCGGGCCAATGAGATTGGTAGTCCCGGGGACGAGAA